ATTTTAATAAATTATTTCCATTATTATTAAACTTATATTTCATTACTAACGTTCCTGCATTAATAAATATCACTGTCAATCGCCCTGTATGTTATTAATTTTAAAGGTAATTAAAGGTATTTTCTTAGTTAACATTATAAGGTAGTGTATATAAAAATGTATATGTTTTGTAATAATATACTTTAAAACTATTTTAATAGCCAAAGGAATAATTAATATAAGTGTATCTGACAAGAAAAGAAGAATAGAAACACATACTGTATTATACACAATAAAAAGAATGGGATGCCAATTTAAGTCTTTTTGAATCTGGCAACTGTGCATATTTAGCCGAGCTATAAGGCCGTCCACGAGCCGTCGATCCAAAACCGAAAGTTCAAAATTTCTAATTATATTCTGATTATGATATTGTCGCGCCATCTAGTATTCTATTTGTGCAATTTTAGCTCTTTCATTTCGAGTATTTTTCTGTTGCGTAGCTAGATATTCTGTGCTAGTAGGTATTGAATGTTTTTTTTTGTTAAATTAAATCGATTTTCAAACCTCAAAATTTAAAATATATTTTACATTTTACACATTATCTTACGTATCTATTCATTATTTGTATATTGCAAAACATTTGCTGCATTTGTATAGTTCATAGTTTATTTGCCAAAGTATTTTTATTAATATAAATAGGTATTTATTAACTGTATATTATGTATATTTCATGTAAACTATATCATTTTTAAAATACAAACCAAAAATACGAGAAATAATTATGTCTTCCATGTATTCTACAACATATTTATTAATCCATAGTATCTAACTAGCGCGACGTCATAAATCTCGCTCCGAGGCTGTTCTATTAGAGACGAAATTGGTCTGATGATTTAGAAATGTCAAAAGCTGATGACATTTTACTTTTGACAATTACGACATTTCGTGTTGATTTTTGGAAGAAGAGGAAGAACTGTCACTTGTTTTATTACTTTCCTTTTCTATTTCACGAAAGTAAAAAGAGTTACCTATCTGACTCGTTTAAAGCACTCGCACTCAATTTAAAGAATATCAGTAACTTTTTTGGTAGAGGGATTTTATATTTGCCATTTTGGTAAAAAATAACGGTCAAAATTCAAAGTTATTCATTTTATAGACTATAGAACTTTAGGATTTAAGAAGATGTTCAAATATTCCTCCATCGACTGCTAGACAATAACCCAGGCGATCATAAAATTCTCTTCTTACATCCGCTAGTTGGTAAACTGAAATTCTATTGCATTCGGCAGAAATAGCATTTTTAACTCGTCTAGATTTGGATATTTTTTATCCTTGTATATCCTGTTTTTTAAATGGCCCCAGAGAAAGAAATCATTTGGCGAAATATCAGGAGACCTTGCTGGCCAATTTACTGTATGATTTAGGCCAATAACTTTTCCGTTAAAACTATTGTCTAAATATTCCTGAACAGCCAGGGTACTATGTGCCGGGTGCATATTCGGAATTCGCCGACACATAGCCGTTCGGATTAGATCGGGACCGGCGACGAACGGTTGATAAAGTACCGACGTATTAGACTAGTTCCAACCCTTATGCGTCGGTGATTTACGCAAACGAAATACTGTTAACTGTTAATAGGTTACATATCGAGAACTGTTAGAAAATGATAAAAAACAGACTTGAACTGAAATTATCTTTAATACTAAAATTAAATACGGTGTATTCCATTTAAAATAAGAAATACGATTTTCTAAAATGTCATGAGGCAATTTTCAATTTGTCATTTTTAGTATAAAATTGTAACTAAAATTTTGTTAACTTAAAAAAATACTTTATTTATTAAATTACTAAACAACTTAAGTCTATAAGCAAAGCATATTATCAAAAAAATATATGAATAGAAAAGAAATAAGACATATTTTCTATTTTTTGGACTTATTCACTCCTAATCCCATATTTTTTTTAATTTTGTGTCTGGAAAAGTGTCGGATAGTTATTTTACCTATAATTTTACTGGACAGTCTATATTTCGCGAAATTCTTTTGCGGCTCGCTTCCCTATTTTTCTTTTGTTTGCCATCAAAATGGCAGTGATAAAATCTCAAATCTCTTAAACTCTTTCAAAACTTTCTCTTCTAACATTTACCAAGGCAGTTATCCATTCTATAATAAAATACAAATAAACTAAAATTTACTCACTAACCAGTTTTAAACTTCCATGACGATAATAGAATCATTGGAGCCTTAATAAAGGATAAGTTAAGTTTTGAGACTTATCGCAAGTACCGTATGATCGAAAAAAAAACAGCGTCTAGTGTAGGTTTGGAAATGACGATCATTGACATTCCTTATATAATTTTACATACAAAATGATAGCTATCTTTATTTTCAAGCCAGCTCTGACGTCGTTTTTTTTTACATCGTATGGTATATCTAGCATTCACATGAAAGTGCACAAGTCTTTTGCGCAGTATAAAAAAAGGATGCTATCTGTGTATGCTATTTATTACTATTTATTTTGTATTAATGAAACATTAATAACATTACTGTTATTATTTAGTTTCTCTGCAAAAAGCAACGTATCTAAAATTTGTTTTTATCAGTAATCTGCAATCTCAGTTTATTGGAGGCTATTTATTTACCAGGTACACCTGGTAATGTTTTAAAATCCATGTTTTTGAATTAGCAATCTGCCCGAAATATGCTAATCACTAGAAAATAATGAAAACCATCTACAGACGATTACTGATTGGTGATAAAAATTTACGAATACACATTACAGACTCAGATCAAATTAATCCGATTTACAAATTTGCGAAGAAAGAAACAATATTTTGAGCACATCGTAAATCGCCGACGTATTAGTCTAATACGTCGGTACTTTACGCAGCACCCGAACTTTCCCGAGCGGCTAATGTGTCGGCGAATTCCGAATATGCGTGCCGGGTAGCCATTTACCTTGACTGGTGCTCATAAGTAAATACAAGGCCATAAGAAAGGAGAAATATTTAAAAAGAAATCGGCGATAACTCGTAAACGGGCTAATCAAAAATATCTAAAGTTATTCTTTTGAATGTGGGTTTTAGTGCTCTTCAATAAACCTAAATAGAATTATTCTCTAAAATAATTAGGGAAGCCAATAATTGACCCCATTAAAATTTACATGGGATTCCCTATGTCCCGCTCGACAATGCAACACCCGGTATACAATTATAGTTAAAGTTAATAATCAATTAATAATTAATATAAATAAAAAAATATATATATATCATACCTTGTTATTATCGGAACACGGGACATAAGAAATCCCATGTAAATTTTGAAAGGGTCAAATATTATCGCACCAACAATTGTATTAGATTTTTTAAAAAGGCGTTGAAGTTGTACTGTCGTCTAGAATTTCGTTTTACTTGGAATAGGCATTTAAAAGTTATTTGCAAAAATCTACCTACAAAATACTAAAATTTTATAATACGACCCAGAGGAAGCTAAAATTAAAATACCAGCAAAAATGTGATTTGGAAAGGGTGATTAATTTTTTTCTGAATTGGAATGATCATCTACAAAAGAATTAGTGGAACTGAGAATAGTATTCGCGGTAATTTGTGTTTGCTGTTCATTACTCGATCACTCGCAGGCCTTGCTCATAGGTACCACATTTACCCACAATAATTAAACAAATAAAAAAAAATGTAACTAAAGGGACTTTATTAAACTATACTAAAACTAATAACATATTTACATAATTCTCCATTCACAGCCAAACAATACCACAAATGATTGTAAAATTCACGCCTCACAATACAAAGCTGTTAAGGGGAGAATCTTTAGCATTCAACAGAGATGTATTTTTCAGTATCTAAAGTGTGTATCTAAATTTTTGTATTTAATATGCCCATAAAGACGGGTTTTGAGTGTGCTCCACAGGAAGAAATCGTTCGGTGAAAAATCCTGTGGTCTTTCCCTACTGTATCCCCAATAGACGGGATCACGTTTTTCTTTTCTTCAACGTGCAGAATATTCAAGTCATTGTTGTTTTCTTCCTGTTCAATTATTTTTGTCGTCACACTTCCATGTGCTTAATACTCTGCCTTTAGTTTCAAACCTCTGCAGCTCTGGTTTATTTTTTAAACTGTTGACTTATTCGTTATTAGTTATATTCACTGTCTAGGCAAACTGAGCTAAGAACATGTCTAACACAGCGGATATAATATTTGCATCAAAATGCCGTTTTACCATCGTAACTTTTTCAGAAGTTGCGAAAATCATAATTATTTTATAGAAAATTACTCTATTTGGTACCTTCAAATTTTTGTAAACAAAATGTGAAATTTTTGCTGGTATTTTAATTGTAGCTTTCTCTGGGCCATATCCAAATGGAAACGAAATTCTAGGCAAAAATACCTTATGATCGGAAAAAAAACGGCGTCCAGTTGGCTTGCAAATGACGATCGATGACATTTCCCATATAATTTTACATATAAAATGACAGCGATCTTCATTTCATAGCCATCGCTGACGACGTTTTTATTCGATCATACGGTACAATGCCTCTTCAAAAAAAGTCCAATACAATTTTTGCATAAAATCATCCGGGGAGATAATATTTCACCTTTTCAAAATTTACATGGAATTTCCTATGTTTCGTATTCCGATGCACCACACGTATACCATTATAATATACCAATAAAAACTAAAAACATTTAAAAAACAATATTTTTAACAAAATGTGATTTGAATGAGAGAGACGTCAAATCTGTCGGTTCTGGTAAACCTCTTTAAGCTTCCTTCGGAATGTGTTTGGGGACATTTTCTGAAGATTATTTTCAAAACTGTTAAACAAAAATATGGCATTATATTGATAGGAGCGGCGATAGATATAAATCAAAATATGTGTTCATGGCTTGTTACTTTATTTTCCTTAATAATGAACCTTTACACTGTGATAATATAGTATATTATATTAATTAGAAAATACATCGAAATAATAATAATAATTGGAAACATAATATATTTTTTCAGTGTCTAAGAACTTTGGTAGGTCACACGGGTGGAGTATGGTCGTCGCAAATGTCCGGTAATACAATAATTAGTGGTAGTACTGATAGAACGTTGAAAGTATGGGATGCTGACACAGGAGTATGCCGTCACACTTTATATGGTCACACATCAACCGTGAGGTGCATGCATTTGCATGGTAACAAGTAAGTTTTCCCAAAATGATTTTGTTTCTCTTTTCTGTATAAATATAGATAGATAGAGAGATAGATAGATATTCATTTATTTGTTATTATTGATAATTTCAGGTCCTTTTTCGTTCATGTTTTCATCCGCTTTCGGTGGAGTGTTCGGTCTGCTATCATTAAATAGTTCTTCTACGTATTCCTTCCATCGTTGTAGTTTATTCTCTATTCCTAAGATGATGTCATTATTTTGGTCCCGTAAGATAGCTGTGGAACGTTTCTTGTTACAGTTTACGCGACTCTTGTATTTTTCTTGAAGATTTTCGATTTCACTACACTTCTCGGTCATCCACTGTTCCTTTGCATCTCTGCATTTTCTTCTAATCCTTTTGTTTAGTTCAGCATATAATGCTGGATTTGCCTTATGGGTTCTCCTTTCATTCATGAGTTCTAGGATTTCAGGAGTCATCCATTCTTTTTTCACATTAGTTTCAAGGTGGCCAATGTCATTTTCCTGAATAAGAGTTATGGAGGTTTTTATCCTATTCCAGGTTTCCATTATATCCAGTTGTTTTTCATTTTGGATTTTTGTCATTTCACATTCGATCCTGGAACTCACTTGAGTGTGTACATCCGGTATCCGCAGTTTTCTAGTGTTGATTCTAGGAGTTGGTTGCGTCTTAGCGATCTTTTTGAATCTTCTCATTCGGAAATCCATAACGACGGGATTGTGGTCGCTATTAACGTCTGCGCCAGGATATGTTTTTACTGATTGCACGTATTTCTTCAGTTCTTGTCCAACAAGTATAAAATCGATCAGATTCCTTATGGTACGGCCTTTTTTATCAGCAGGAGATTTCCAGGTGTATAGTCTTCTAGGATGTTGTTTGAAGAATGTGTTAGCAATAAATAAATTCGATTCTATACAGAACTGGATAAGTTTGTCACCTCTCGCATTTCGTGTGCCTAGGCCGTACTCTCCTACGACATCATTCTCTCTTCCGGAACCGATTTTCGCGTTGAAATCTCCCATGACCATATTTATTTCACCCTTCTTTGTGAGTTTCATCGCCTCCTCTAATGTTGAGTAGAAATCTTCAACCTCTGCGTCACTTTTGTCGTTTGTTGGGGCATATACTTGTATTATGTTCAGTGTTCGATGTGTAGTTTGTAACTTCAATAGCATAACTCGATCATTAAAGGTATGAACTCCATAACCGACCTATCTATGTCCTTGCTTACAAGTATGGCAGTTCCGTATTGATGAAACGTGTCTGTCCCTCCTGAATAGTAAATGACGCCGTTATTAGTTGCTTGTTTACCTGATCCAGGCCATCTTACTTCACTCATCCCCAATATATCAATTTGCATTCTGCGCATCTCTGTCTCGAAATTTGCCAGTTTACCGGTCATGTACAGACTGCGCACATTCCAGGTCGCAATACGTATTTTAGAATTGTATACTTTTATTTTTACTTTTTGGTCACTTCTATAGTTTCTAACAGTCGACGACGGGGGGATTCTTCGCACCCTCTCCTCACTTAAGAGGTGCCCCGGTCTGAGGGCCGTGTTTTTGTTTTCGTCTGCCATTAGGATGTTTTGGAAGTTATTTGTACAGTAAGGGTTCCGTTCCTTTTCTGTACCGCAGTGCAGAGGCCGAGTCCGCCAAACTGTTGCTTGTCGCCTTCTGGTATTCGGTGCTATACCGTTTTACGCCATAACCCGATTTTGATGGAACTGCTGCCTTCCACCAGTGCTAGTGCTAGTATATACAAATACACGAGTTTAAATAGGGAGTATACGAAAAATTTATTATATAATTATTCTAAAAATGTTAAGAAGTATAGGCTTGGTGCATACTCCGCCGGTGGTGCCACCATCGGAGAATATCGTAAACAACTAGTATATATAATACACGGGTTTAAGGTTTAAGAAGTATAATTTGTGAAAATTCTAAAAATAAAAATATGTAGATATCTTCAGAAGGTCTAACTTGTATTATAATTTATTATTCCAGCTAAAAAAACTTTTTAGATGAGTTCAACTACGGTAGCGAGCATAGTTTTATCATCGGTTGTGCTAGTGGGTCGTAATTCGGGCTATTTCGGCTATAACGAAATTTTTTAAAGGTAAATAATTATAATTTTAGATGTTCATAAAACATTTAATCACTAGACAATTAAAAAAAGTATACCATTAATATTGCAAATTATATTTTATTCCCTCATAGTATACGTCTATTTAATTTTTTCATTAGGTAACAAGCACTTTGTTTACCCACTTGTTTCGTCGAAGTGCTTGAATCCATTTTTGCTTTTGATCAAATCGGTGTGAAAAACCATGAAGCTATAAAATGTTGTTTCGGGAGAGTTGAATATCCCGGAAAGTTGAGTTATTGAATGTTATTGCACCTAACAACGCCCTAATTACGCTCACCTTTATGCGTTAACATTTTTTTGACAATTAAATTAACATTTGAAATTGTCACAACACAACACGACGCCTAGTTCGAATTCTTTTTCACTTATTTTTTACTGCTCGAAAAAGCGTTACATCACACAAATCTCGTACCTGAGTGTTTTATAGCCTCAATAATTGCACTAGCAAAAAACTAAAATACTTAAATATTATGACAAAGCCACGATTTCAATATTGTTTTAATGCGATCAACATATTATGGCGCCGTAAAATATATACTGATAACTTCTTATTTCTGTCCTTGAAGCGCTGCGGTCGGAATTTGTTGAAATCAACTGAAATGCACCAAGCCTATAATAACAGCAAGAAATAACAGCTTTTGTTATTTGTTTAAAATATTGATATTCATCTTAAATAGAGTCAAAATTTAGAATAGAAAGTTATCTATAACTCTATTCCTAGTAAATAATAAAAATATAGTAAATATTCCTAGTAAATACTATATAGTATTTACTAGGAATTAGATAGTCTAACTATCTGTAGAAAAAGGTTAACAGTTAACGTAATGGTATAATGTTTCTTCTAACCCTAAAAACTTTTTTTTTCTGATATTACGAATATTTTGTTAGCAAACATGGAACTGTCTTAGTTGGTTTAAGAAAAACCATCAGTAAAAGTAATATTACTATGCCACTTTTTTCTACCATTATTTCCACTTATTGAAATCCTAATATTTTTATTGAACTACTTTAAATTTTTAATTTTTGAGAAAAAAATTAGATTATTGTTGACAAAAGAATACCTTATGATTCATATAGCAGTGGATTTATTTAAGTAGTAGTGTGTAACCATAGATCACATATATTACATGGATATGTAAATAACAAAAAACTGTTTTTTTTTCGATCATAGATAGATGATCCAACAAGTGGCGGATCTAGGCGTGGGCAAGGACGCTAGACGCCAGGGGCGCCTTAGAGGCGCCAAAATGTGTTCGAAATCAATAGGTAAAAACTCTAATCACGCACCGCATGCACACATAAGGTATGTTAGTAGTTTCTGCAAACATACCTAAAATTTCGGCACGGGGGTGGCAAAATATAAGTATGTCCGAAACTAGTAGTAAAAACTCTAATCACCATGCAAACATCATACAATAAAATAGTAAAATTTAGATAGAAGACGCTACCTAGAGCGTGCGATATATTTTTTCATATTTTATTTTTTTTGTGTGTGGTCTACACATTTTTTGAATTGTGGGGGCGCCAAATTTTGTCTTTACCCACGACGTATTTTACCCTAGATTCGCCACAGATCCAAGTAAGTCACTTAAAAATTCCGCCATATTGTTTAATGATAATTTTCGTAAACAGTACCAACTTGTGATGTATCGCGGACAATAGAATTTTAACATATTATGTATGTAAATTCCAGTTAAACCGCAAGTGATATTCGTTATTTAACGGAAAATGTCAGATATTTAGATGAACTAGGAGTATTTTCACTAGTTCCGAATTTATTCAATAAAAAGGAATGAAAAGGTTTTCTGTAAAACAATTTTGGATCACCCAGTGTATTTTCGTAACAAAACTTATTATATTTACAGAGTCGTAAGCGGATCAAGAGATGCAACATTAAGGGTTTGGAATATAGAAAGTGGCGAGTTCCTTCATGTGTTAGTTGGTCATATAGCAGCCGTACGCTGTGTGCAATATGATGGAAAATTAGTCGTATCGGGTGCTTATGATTATATGGTTAAAGTTTGGAAACCTGAAACAGAAGAGTGTCTGCATACATTACAGGGTCATACGAATCGTGTATACTCGTTACAGGTAAATAATAAAAATATTATAAATTTCTTGGCTTCTTTCTAATTAAAGACGGTAAGAACGAGCGCTTAAAGTGGTTTTGGATGCACGATCGTCTCCTGCCTGCGCGAAAAGTTTATTACTTCGATTTTCAAAAGGAAGCGTAGTATTCAAAGTAAATTCGAAAAAACTCAACATATTCAAAATATACTACCCCTAAAAATATTTGCACTTATTTAAGACTCACCCTGTATAGGCCGATTCACGGTTATGGTACATTATAACGTTTCCGGAACCGGAGCTGTTTTTCGGTACCATGCCTCTAAGGAACCGGGATTTCATCAAATTATTAAGTAGCAATCAGTCATGAGAAAATTAACCTGAACACAAACATGATCACAAATGACTCTCAAAAAAAACTCAAAGCACAATTTGTTGAAATATTACTACAACCAATAGCAGCACACAATAAGTCACTCATTTTTTGTCAATCCGTCTCTGTCCACGCAACGCTCGAACCTCGCAGGCTCGCAGGTCGACGGACGGAACTCAACTGAAACGCTCTGCAATCTGCCGATATTCGACAGATTGTAAAAACTGGCAGAAAATATTTGGGAGAGTACAACTACTCTTTTCCTTCTACTCTGGTGCTACAGTAAAGCAATATGTTTAAAAGCTAATTTTATAAAAGATTTTTGAGCTATATACAGGGTGGTCCGAACTGTATTCCGGAAACTTCAGCAGCATATTCTGCAGATAAAAATAAGTAAAAAAGGTCTTATAAATGTATATTCTGATTGCTAATAAAAAAATGTATGTCCTAAAATGCTTAGCTTCGGAGATACAGGGTCAGAGGCGCAACTAGGGAGGGCCAGAGGGGGGGGGCTTAACCCCCCCAGATTAATCGTGCTTGTCGTTTAAAATTGGTTTTAACCTCACATGAATCTTATAGTGACCTAAGCCCCCCCAAAAGACTTCAGCCCCCCTAAAAGTATATGTCTAGTTGCGCCCCTGTACAGGGTGTAGAAGATACATTTTTATTTCGATTTTTTCCAAATATTTTCTAAAGTAACAAAAATCGCTACGAGTAATAGTTCTCGAGATATTTGAAATCGAAATTATCAATACCTGTCATCATTGACATAAATTAAACATGTTGACTAAATAGTTAATAGACGGAAATCATAAATTTGAAATGTTTTTGTGCCAAATCATCACCAATCATCATTTTTTTGAAGAAAATTTTATGATTAATTTAAAAAAAAATAAAAATTTTCCAAATTTATCTTTTTAGTCCAATAACTATCTACTCAACATGTTTATTTTTTGTCAATAATGACATTAGTATTGACTATTCCCATTCTAAATATCTTGAGAAGTTTTTTTTTTTTTTTTTTTTTGGGAGGTGTAAAATACCTTTACGTACGGAGTGTGGGACTCAATCTCTCCTTAAGCTGCCTGGAGGACACTACCCACTAAACGTCACCCCCTCGCTCCTGCCACGTCTACCTGGACCCGCTGGACGCATCTCTTCAAGTAGCGCCGGACTGTTCCTTTGTTGTCATTACCCCTGCCTTTCTCTGTATTTTGCCTCTAGTATATTTTAGGCCAGTTTTGAGATGGCTTCAAAGTTCTCTCTTCTTTCTGTTACCGATTTTAAGAAGGTATCTGCGGAGGTGTTGCCACCAATCGTCATGCGTACCTCACATCTTTCCTGTTCCCATCTTGGACAAGCAAACATTGTGTGTTCTGGAGTATCATTGGGTTCAGCACAGTATCGGCATTCCGCGACTTCCCTCTTTCCAATTTTACACGGGTAATCCCCAAAATTTCCTTGGCCACTCAATATTTGAGTAAGATAGAAGTTTACCTCTCCATGCTTTCTTTTAATCCACATATTTATATTTGGGATGAGCTTATATGTCCATCTTCCTTTTTGTGATACTTCCCATTCTGCCTGCCACTGCTGCACTGTGCGGTTTCTTTCCATCTCTCTGCTTGCCCTGGTTTGTACTTCACCCTTGAGAAAGAGTCGTTCTCTTTCTCTTGAGAGAAGATGTAAGGGCACCAGACCCGATATCACCAAGGCTGCCTCAGTTGAAGTTGTCCGATACGCCGAGCAGACCCTCAAAGCCATGACTCTCTGTGCACCTTCAAGTCTTTTTTTATTTACGTGCATATTGGTTGCTTCGTTCCACACAGGTGCTCCATACATAATAATATCCTGGCACGCATATGCTAACACTCTTCTCTTTGCTGGTGTTGGGCCCCAAACGTTTGGCAGTATTGCGGACAACGCTTTAGCAGTTCGTTGTGATTTCAGACACACAACTCCTTGATGTGCAGGCCCATCGTGAGTGCACGGTCTATGTGGAATCCAAGATAGTTGACTTGCTTTACTGGATTTATTATTATATCCTTAAAATTAAGCCTTATATGGTCAACTTTTCTCTTGCGGCTCAGTAAAATCGCCTCTGTTTTTTCCACAGCTATTTCGAGTCTGTGCTCACGCATCCATCTGGCTATGATTTTTAGTGTATCATCGACAGTCTGCATTAGGTCGAGGTCGTTTATTTTTTTTGTTTCTTTTGGTTTTTTTTGTTATTATCACAGCAAGATCATCGACGTAACAGATCAACTCTGTCCCACCTGGTACAGTAAGCTCCATGACACTGTCGTAGAATATGTTCCACAGAGTTGGCCCCAGCACCGAGCCCTGTGGGACGCCACCGAATACCTCTCTTTCATCTTCTCTATTGAGAACTATAAATGTATTATCAAGGTAGCTTCTTATTATGTTCACCAAATATCCACTTATGCCCCATCTTCTAAGTTCTTTAATAATTATTTTCCATGACGCGCAATTAAATGCATTTTTAACGTCGACTAAAATCAAAGCATTATGCCAAGTGGCTTTTCTTTTCACGATATCCGATATTTTCTTCATTGCATGTGTGGTAGATTTCCCCTTTACAAATCCATACTGGTTTGGATGCATACCATTTCGTTTCTTCCTAATTTCTTCCAAGAGTCGCGTATTGATGAGTTTCTCATAGACTTTCCCGATTACATCAATGAGGCAAATCGGACGATATTTTGGTGGATCATTTAGGTGCTTCCGGGGTTTCTCTATTAGGGTTAATTTGGATCTCTTCCATTCTTTAGGGAATTCATTTCTCTGAAGAAAGTTATTGAAAAATGTTCTAAAATATTCTACATTGTCCAATATTAGCGTTTTTATCACATTTGGTGGCAAATTATCACAGCCCGGAGATTTGTTAATTTTTATATCTTTGGCAGCATTTATTATATCTGAATCACAAAAAATATCACATTCTCTTATCACAGTTTGTATATTATTTGGTTGAGTCCTAGTTTGTCTCTCATATACAAATAGAGCCTTAAACTGTTTGATTTTTTCTTCTGGGTCCATTTGAACTCTGGGTGGCATTTTTTTCAGCTGGGATCTTATTATCTTGTATGCTTGACCGTAAACATTTTCTTGTAAGTCATCGCACAGTTTTTCCCATGAACTTATTTTTGCAATTCTGATCTTTTGAGACAGATCCTGCTTTGCTTCTTTGTAGGTACGTTTATAGAGCTCGCGAAGATCATCGTTTCTTGTTTCTCGTTGAAACCTTCTTCTCTTTTTTTTTACTTCTAAAATGTTGAGAAGGGTTGCTCGTAACGATTTTTTTTTGAAGAATGAATTGCTCGTAACGATTTTTACCAAGAAACATTTTTTACGTAAAAAAATACGAAAATGGACATTTTTTCACTCAACAGTTCTATACAGGTACGGACAAAAAGTTATTACTCTTACAGTTAAAACACATGTAGGTGGCGCCCTCTATAAATAGGAGTCATAATGACATCAAAATCAAATTTCTCATGTCAAAAAACTATCAGACACTAATTTTCATCCAAGTATTGACGTTACTTCAGAAATTATTTGGAAAAAATCGAAATAAAAATGAAACTTCTACACCATACTACATTTATAAGAAGCTATTTACTTCTTTTTATCTGCACGATATGCTGCCGAAGTTTCCGGAATACAGTTCGGACCACCCTGTATATGTATATACAGGGCGAGTCTTAAATAAGTGCAAATATTTTCAGGGCTAATAGATCTCGATAAAAGAAACATATTTTCCCTTTAGCATTTTTCAAATAAGTCCAAAATAACCGAGTTATTTTATTTTGAAAATTTAAAAAAAAAGTTCTTTTTGTTTAAATTTTGGGTTGGTGGAGTTTTCTTTCTCATATTAAGAAATTATGTCTTTTAACTAAAAGCTAAATCAAAAAAAAAACTCATCGTGTTCCTGGGGATTATATTATATATAAATATACTACCCCTAAAAATATTAGCACTTATTTCTGACTCACTCTGACCTCATATACAAGTCAGCGGTCAAATATAAATTAAAACCTTTATCTAATATTAGAAATATTTTGCTGTCCTTTTTTACCTCTTTTTAGTATAGTCATATTTGGTTACTTCCGTTATAACGTATGGCGAGATTAATTTAATTTATTATTATACCGCGTGTGTCTCAAAAGTGGCTCACCCCTATAACTTTTTTATTTTTTCAGAAAAAACAACGTTATTTGGTATGTCACTATATGACATAAATTGGGATTGATTGACGTATTCAATTGTTTTCGGTCACTTCCGGTTTTACCGGAAATGACTACAACTTTCACACAGAGTGTGATTTTCTATCGAATAAAGTAAAAAAATACCGAGGGTGCCATTTAAAAATCAAAAGTTGTAGTCATTTCCGGTGAAACTGGAAGTGACCGATAACAATTGAAGACGTCAATCAATCCCAATTTATGTCATATAATGACATACCAAATATCGTTCTTTTATCTGAAAAAATAAAAAAGTTATAGGGGGTGAGCCACTTTTGAGACGCACCCGGTATAGTCGTGGTATTGTTTACCTATAACTGCTATAAATGGTCGGTTATCAAATCATTGGGGTAGTATGAGTGCGGAAACCAACAAAAGAAAATTACTGTTTTAAACGTCGATTAATTTAACAGGTCGATTAATAAATGAACCAATGAATAAAATGTTACAATAGCAAGTGTAACATTTTATTTGTAGAATAGATATAGGGTATATATGTTAAATCATGATTTAAATCGTGCCAACCCTGTAGGGAACATTCTGATGAGGATACAAATGACGTCTGGTTAAACTAGAGCCTTATATTGGGTCGAAAGAAGTGAATATGTATGTATATTGATTAGTCTATCTTTTACATTATGTAGGATGCAAGCGCCACCTTTCCTTAATGGGATGTTACATACTATGTACGACGCCGAAGTGAGGAAGCCTATCGGAATTTCTCTTATATAGAAATTGCTTTAAACCAGGGTTAGCATGATTTAAATCAAGTGATTTTTTTAATTTTAATCATGTGATTTAAATCAAAAAGAAATAATTTTATTGAAATTTTATAATAAATCAAAAAATAACTGTAAAAGTTATAAAATTGTGTCCTAGAAAACTAGAAAAAATATTTCTATAACAGATATAACAGATAATAAATCGAAAAATAATTGTAAATGTATATAAAACTATATAAAAATATCTATTCATCAAAATTTAAATGTTGGACCGATTTTTGAAGACACGAAATTAGTGTGAATCCATAGACTGCGAAACGCAGGGATTTATTTTAAAATTTATGTATAAGTGACAAAAATTCGCTGTTCGAATACATATCATTCGCAAAGTCTAGTGCAGAACTAGGTTCTTCTGATATAGAGACTATATCTTCATTCCCGAGATTCTATAATAGTTGTCAGAAAATGTTTTTTATTTTTTTTAAACGGTTGTATGTTTCCAAATTCCTACCGACATTTTGATCTGCAGTAAGTACTTTACACTTTGACATTAGATAATACATACTAATTTCATTCTCGACTTAAGACTATTTCCGAACAATAGTGTATTTAATATTGTTTTATTATGAGTAAAAATTATACTTTTTTTGACGATGCTGCAGCTTTGAAGGACCATCGTAAAGCTATTCCGACGTTACAGGGAGGCACAAAAAATACATTTTTACTACGAATAGAACATAGTATTTCTTTTAATACATTACAAATGTTTTTTTTAATCAATTTCAAACATTGCAAATAATAGGAACAGTTATCGAGCAACAATTTATACACTAGTTGAATTTGACACTTAATATCAGTTTAATAATATATTTTTGCACTTTTGTGCTTAGGCGTAAAAGTGCTTTACTTTTATGCCTAGGCGTTAAAATGACAAAAGTTAATAGTTTTGAGATGTTTAAAAAAAATCCTTTTGATCTGAAGCGAGGTTTTTTTTGCGGAATATATTGGTGACCGATGTGGAAAAATGACAAACGCGCCGTAGAATCGTTAATGTTATAGGTATCGTTCAGAGTTATAAAGATTTAGCCATTTAGGATAGGACTTTAATTGGAAATAAGTCCTAGTCATTTGGAAATCCCATTTAAATATTGTTTTGAATTAAAAAAATCTGATTTAAATCAAATAAATCTGATTTTTAAAAAAAAATCATGATTTTTTCCAACCCTGCTTTAAACGACTATTTTGTATCTAAATCTGTGTGCATTAACATTTTTATTTTGTTACGTTTGTAATTTTAGTTTGACGGTATTCATGTTGTGAGTGGATCTTTGGACACTAGTATACGTGTTTGGGATGTAGAATCGGGTACCTGCAAACATACGCTTATGGGACATCAATCACTAACTTCGGGTATGGAACTGAGAAACAATATTTTAGTATCAGGAAATGCTGACTCTACTGTAAAAGTTTGGGATATAGTGACGGGCCAGTGTCTTCAAACTCTTTCAGGTACTATATTTTTTCAGTAAGAAAAATACGGAACATTTCTATATTATTAGAGAACGCCGCATAATATAGTCTATAAAATGAATAACTTTGAATTTTGACCGTTATTTTTTACCAACATGGCAAATATAAAATCCCTCTGTCAAAAAAGTTACTGATATTCTTTAAATTGAGTGCCTGAACGAATCAGATAGGTAACTCTTTTTACTTTCGTGAAATAGAAAAGGAAAATAATAAAACAAGTGACAGTTCTTTCTCTTCTTGCAAAAATCAACACAAAATGTCATAATTGTCAAAAGTAAAATGTCATCAGTTGACATTTCTAAATATCAGACCAATGCCGTCTCTAATAGAACAGCCTCGAAGCGAGATTTATGACGTCACGCTAGTTAGATTTATATGCATATTTTGCAAGTATCAGTGTTCGAAAAATTATATTTGCAAATAATGCAATATCATAGAAAAAGGCGTCAAAAAATATCATAGAAAAAAAGATCGCTGTCATTTTATATGTAAAATTATTCTAAATTTTTTTATTTTCTTGGGATAAATTTTGTGAATGCAAATAATAATACATCACTATTAGTAGATATTGAATGTTTTTTGTTAAATTAGATTGATTTTCAAACCCCAAAATTTAAAATATATTTTACATCTTACCCATTATCTTATGTACCTATTCATTATTTGTATATCATAAAACATTTGCTGCATTTGTATTGTTCATAGTTTATTTGCCAATGTATTTATTACTATAAATAGGTATATATTGTATTTATTAACTGTATATTATGTATATTTCATGTAAACTATATCATTTTTAAAATACAAACCAAAAATACGAGGAATAATTATGTTTTCCATGTATTCTACAACATATTTATTAATCCGTAGTATCTAACTAGCGTGACGTCAAAAATCTCGCTCCAAGGCTGTTCTATTAGAAACGGCATCGCGTCAGCATGGCCGCAAGTTGCTAACCTAATAAAATTAACACTAGAAAAGCCCGCGGGAACTGTCAAATTCAAAGTTATTCGTTTCACAGACTGTATCTTGGGAATTTTCTGCTTTTTTTTTAATTAACAAAAAAGTGTAACAAAATAGTTACACTCAATAATTTGTTAGTTTTGCTTTATTTTATCATTACTTGTTATTAGTTTGGTTCAGTTTAAAATTGTTAAAAAAATATATTTTTAATAAAAATAAAGTTAATATAATTAATTATTTAAAAATAACAAAAATACTGATACACTACTGAGACATCTAAGAAAAATTCATAGAATTGATGTATCGTGATTATTTTTCACAAGTAGCAAATGAATGCGAAAAAGCAAGTATAAAAACATATTTAATTCATCATTTCCTTCGTTACTACTCGTAACAGATATGACTTACTAATGAAAACTTTGTTCCATTTTTTTATGTTTTTTTGTCTGCGAACAATCGTACGCTGCACAAGTAACTATTTTTAAAGTCTCTAAAATTCATACTAATCTCACTATAGGTAATTCAAGTCCTTCAAAATGTATATGCTTTGCATAAATCTAATTACAAATAAACATAAAATATCAAAATAAAGGTATAAAATGCATCAAACACTCCAAAATTCAAATCAAATTGAAATGTATTGAGTGAAAAGAAGAAACTAAATTTTTAGTACCTATTAGATTTTGACTTTTATACTCAAATTAGCAGCAGTACCGCAACTACTATACCTATCTAGCTAATTTAAGACTTATAAAATTGTGCATTTATTGAAATATTGATCTACAGGGAACGGCAATAGTGCGTCGGGCATCTGTAGCTCATAGAAGAAAAAACTTGAGAATTTTGTTTGCGTGCAAGCCTAAAGTATGTACCAGGATGTATTTCCGGAAAATATTTTAACTTCTATAGGGTGGCTCAAAAACGAGTGTGAGTTAATCTGGATGATATTTTTTAAATGGAACACCCTGTATATTATTGCATTTTTGTCTTCCTTTCAGATCACTGTACATAATCCTAAGATATGAGTAAATCTATTTCGATAGTTTCAGAGATATTAAAAAATAAATCAAAAATGTATATTTTTCAACCCTTCTTAAAAAATATTAAAAATACAAGAACTGTTAGTTAGATATTTACTTTAGATAATCAGTTCTTACTTTGCTATAAATATGGTAATCGTAAATCATACAGGATGTTCAATATTTTACACCAAACTTTCAAAAATATAAAATAATTTTTCTTCGTTTTTTTTAAATAGATGGAGAAATAAAACATGAACATTTTTTGTATTTAAAGTATTTCAAAATTTTTAATAGTTTTCCTAAATCTGCGAAACCGTTAAAAATTTTGAAATACTCTAAATACAAAAAAAATCATTTTTTAATTATCAATCTGTTGAAAAAATAATATACAGGGTGTTCCATTTAAAAAAACGAAGAATAAGTATTTTATATTTTAGAAAGTTTGGTGTAGAGTTTTGAACATCCTGTATGATTTACGATTTCCATATTTGTAGCAAAGTAAGTACAGACCATCTAAAAAAGATAAATATCTAATATAATTTTGATTTCAGGACAGTTCTTATATTATTAATAATTTTATTAAGAAAGGCTGAAAAATATATAATTATTAATAAATAATTTTTATTTATTTATCTCTGAAATTATCGAAATATATTTACTCATGTCTTAGGATTATGTAAAGTGATCTGAAAGGAAGCCAAAAATGCAATAATATACAGGGTGTTCCATTTAAAAAAAAACCATCCCGATCCACTCACACTTTTTTGAGCCACCCTATAGAAGTTAAAATATTTTCCTGATATACATCCTAGTATATAATTTAGGTTTGCACTTAAACAAAATTCCCAAGTTTTTTATTGTATGAGCTACAGATGCCCGACGCACTATTGCCGTACCCTGTATAAAAAATCTAGTTAGCTGCAACCTGCTTGGATTCTTTATTTCATATATGTATTACTAAGATAGTGCAGCAAGCTAAATACGATACAATCGAACAAAGACGTCAAAGAAAAAGAAAAGCGTCAAAGACTGCTGGGGAATGACAATCGATGATAATTTGGGCGAGGTCAAACCCTAGACGTCATTACTTGGCCTGTACTCTTCTTTTTTTTAATAGCGCTTAGTACCATAAAATAATTAACTAGAAAGAAGTGTCAATCTTTGGACGTATATATACGCCACCAAGTCATTGTGGTCGTCTGGAGAAGTAATTTTCCAATTGACATGTTGACTTGGTTGACATCTTTGAACAAGAAGACTAAGGAAGGAGCATATCAAAAATCTTAGGTACACCGCGATGGGCCTCAAATATGGCCGACTTAAATTCCGGTTTATCAGTGTCGTTCTAATTTTATTTAAAAAATGTAAAACTATGATGTAGGGTAGACGTGGGGTAGACTCAATAATTTGTTTTTTTATTTTACGTTGTGAATAAATTTTGGTAGTTATTAAAATTGTTATAAAAATATATAATTCTAATAAAAATAGATAAGTTATAATAAGTATTTATTAACACAAACATCCGATACGCTACTGAAGCAGGTAAGTCAAATTAGCGTATCTAAATTCTTTGACATCTAATCTTTGACAAGTAATAAATAAAAGCTAAAATGCAAGAAAAATATATAATTTAGTTAATTTAAGTGAATTTCATAAATGATCGGTTTACTACACGTAAGTATATTATATAGTCACTTACTAGCGAAAAGTTGTTCCATTATTTCACTCAGTTTTTGCCGAGATTTTACCGCACGCTACACAACCAACTATTTTAGAGTCTTTTTCATAAATCGCGATAGTGTCACTGTTAATTTAAGTTCTGCCACAATTTCCATCTAGATTTACTACCTTTATACAACTATCAGTAGTAGAATAAATAATAAATAACATAAAATAAGCTCCGTAAAGACTGACAAATCAACAAAATTTCAAATCAAATTCAAATGTGTCAAATGAATCGTCAAACAGAACTGTCAAGGATCCCCACCCTAGAGGGCTTTTATGGTGGCTTTTCCGCCCACCATGCATGAATACATGGATAGCATTATGCTCCTTCCTTAGTCTTCTTATTCAAAGGTTGACATGATGGCTTCATTTTTATTTCCGTTTTCGGTTATTCAATGGCGGGCCCTCATTCATTTTAAATGTAATTGTATTTTTTCTGATCATAAATAAAACAAAATAAAAATGTATTTAAACATATTTATTTGAAAAAAATGTCTATATCTATGTGGCGGATTCATCTTTCCAAAAAAATCCTTTATGGGTGTTTCGCCACTGCACTGCAAGAAAATCTACAAAATAAAATAGTTATTTTTTGTAAACACGCAGAAGTTTTTTGTAAACACTTATATACATACACACATGTATAGACATTTTTTTCAAATAAATATGTTTAAATTAATTTTTATTTTGTTTTATTTATGATCATCAGACATGCGAATTTGATTTATGACAATCAGACATGCGAACTGAAGAGACGTATAACCCTGTCTTGGGCCGCCTATGGAAAGTTAAAAGATGTGTTTAAGGGCGACCAGCCAATCTGCCTAAAACGAAAGGTTTTCAACCAATGTGTACTACCGGTTATGACGTATGGAGCTGAGACCTTGACACTGACCATCGCATCTGCTAAGAGGCTCAGAGTGGCACAGCGACGAATGGAAAGATCAATGCTTGGAGTGTCTTTGCGGGATCATATAAGCAACGAGGATATACGTGCGAGAACAGGCGTCATCGACGTTGTGTCACGAATCGCTACACTCAAGTGGAAGTGGGCTGGACATGTGGCTCGAGTGACCGATGGTAGGTGGACCAAAACACTGCTCGAATGGAGACCGAGAGCTGACAAAAGAAACCAGGGAAGACCACCAACACGATGGACTGACGACAAAAAGGATCACCAATAACTGGATCCAGAGCGCACAAAATAACAGTGGGCGCAAATGGGGGAGGCCTATGTCCAGCAGTGGACGCAAAGGGCTGGCTGATGATGATGATTTATGATCAGAAAAAATACAATTACATTTAAAATGAATGAGGGCCCGCCATTGAACAACCGAAAACGGAAATAAAAATACAGTGCAGTGGCGGTGCAGTGCAGTGCAGTGCAGTGGCACCCATAAAGGATTTTTTTGGAAATATTTATTTGAAATATGTGAGAGACAACGTGACTAAATAATAAAAAAAATAGAAAATTGTATTGTTTCAATATCAATTACTTAATTATATGCATTTTTAACGTAAATTAGTAATGTATAAACATGACTTAACAGTAATTTGTAAATAAATACACGTATTCAAAGTCTTCAGGGTCAGGAACATGAAAACGGGAGCCTTATAAAAAACCTGAAAACAGAAAAACAGGTTTTTTAAACTAAAAGTAACAATGTAAAAATATCAATATAAATATACTATTTAAAAAAGGCGTCCATTGTTCCCAAAGAGACCTGGTTTACAAATCAAAAAGAAGCAAAAAGACTGAGTTTTTTTTTCTTCTTAAATACACTAGGTATACACTAAGACGCAAGAAGTAAATTTAACAAAACTTGAAAATAAAATGAATATGAAATAAACCTGATTTCCCTTTTATATTTTAAAATAAAGATATATAGATACAGAATAAATTTATTGCATAATATATATCTTATAGATTTATTGTATTATTGATAATAAATCACACCTACTGCAGATAACTAATGTTGGCTATAGTTAAAAATAATCTTACCTTGCTGTAAATTGTTTCCATTTTCAAAAAAATCGCCGATCATAGACATATGACAAAATTTTCTTGCATCTAAAAATATGGAAATAGTGTTTATTTACTACCTATTTTTAATATACATGGAACATACCTAATACTGCAGAAACGTCGTTTTCTCCAGGATTTGTCATGTAATATATATTTTATATACTTTATTACCTTTATAAATGTCAGCCGAAATATCAAATGAACTTCCAAAACAAAACTGAACGGAGGGAATTAAAATGATTTCCAATATCTCTGGCAGATTTGTTCTACATTTGTTCTTACATAACCTAACTAATCAAATCTGTCAATCCTCAACTGTGAGTTAGACCAGAGTTAGACAGAAGACATGCTGTCTTTGTCTAGGCGGCCATACTTGTGGCAGGAATGACACTAATGACTGTTTCCATGACTATTTCACTGTCACCCCCCTGCTTAGTGCCAGTTGGCCTCTAGAAGGTTGTAACTTACTTTTATATGCATTTAAAATGATTTTTGAATGGTGTAGTTTAAGATTCGATAAAAAATATTTTCTTTTGGAAATAGATTTGTGATTTTGGAAATAGAAATCTGGAAACCGTCCTATCAATTTTCAATCTTACTACATTACTTTAATCTACTATAATTAGTGTTAATTTTTGACTGACAAGTTTTATATCAATGTTTATTAAATGACGGCAAGAGATTAACTTCGCCAAAATTATCATCGATTGTCATTCCTCAGCCGTCTTTGACGCCGCTTTTATTCGACCATACGCTATAATGATCATTAATTTAAAGCCTAGTTTTTATGCATCCGAACATTTTATAACTTTTCTTATGAATTTCGTGCCGCTATATTGTTTGGGATAAATGAAAAACTAGGCTTATTTTTCAAACGTTAGTATTGTATGTCTAGAATTGTTTTGTGTAACGCTTTTTTTTTAATTTAAAAACTGAAAATTTTATATTTTTACACATTCCATTGATTCCATTTAAATTTATATAAATTAAACAAATATAATAATATGGATATCTGTGTCCTTAACACAATTTCGAAGAGTTATGGGAGGTGTTTGATTTAATTTTGTTGAGGCACCACCTTCAGCGTGACACCCATGCTTGTGTAAAATACATAAAATAATTTATTGCGCTGTTAATTCTGTAAAATAATTAAATATATTCATTAACTTTATGTAGTAGAGAAACCATTTACGAGAATTAAGAATTGCAGCAATCGAAGAAGGCAATGAACAAATGTTACAGGTCTACTTATATAATCTGTTAGGTAGCATGTCAAACCGTCTGAGATAGTGCATTAATGCTTGAGGAAGAAATACAAAAACAACAAATTAATATTTACATTTGCATTCGCAAATATTCACTAACGTTATAAGTTGTGATTATTCGCTAATGTTTAAAAGTTGATATTTGTTACATCATTAATATGCTGTATGGGATTTAATAATGTCTTTATCAGCGTCAAAGGTTTAAGACATGTTTATGCGAAATAACTAATGTAACTTTTGTAAAGTACATATTCGGAACTACAACAAATTACGAAATAGGCAAAAACGATTTTTCATAATTTTTTGAAAAAATTCCTTAGCACCACCCTGACGATTTTGTAAAAAAACCGAAATGTTTTAGATCGCAAGTAAAAGATTCTTACAGATTGTTGTTTTTACGTAGAATTGACTGCCGTAAACCGTTTTTCGATATCTGTAACAGATCTTGAGTTATTTGAGAAAATCTACAAAATAAATATTTTTTTCTGTTTTGTGTCTCGAATAGTTTGACTTCGGCATTTAATTATTTTTTCTATTATTTTTTGTTTTTTGATTTGCCGACGATAGTAACTGACAGTAATTTTTTGTTGGATACACAAATAAGTTACAATAAAAAAGTTGCTTTCCGTTTAGATTCTAAACCAGTAAGCTATAAAAAAAATTCTTGGTTTTCTGTTTTAGTGGAAAATTATGTATTTTTTATAAAATTGTATTTTTATTTTTTGGTTACTAAATGAAAATACTTTTAGGTCCCAACAAGCATCAGTCGGCCGTAACTTGTCTGCAATTCAATAATCGATTTGTGATAACTTCTTCCGATGATGGAACAGTCAAATTATGGGACGTTCAGACTGGTGAATTTGTACGAAATTTAGTGGCATTAGACAGTGGTGGTTCGGGCGGAGTTGTTTGGCGTATTAGAGCAAATGAGACTAAATTAGTTTGTGCCGTAGGGAGTCGCAATGGAACAGAAGAAACTAAATTATTAGTGTTAGATTTTGACTCTTATACTCCAAACAGCAGTACTACTATAACTAGATAATTAAAGACTTAAAAAATTGTGCGTATGTTGAGTGAGAAATAGTGAATGCATTATTTTTGTAGTAAATGAATATTTCTCTTATACAAGATTATTTTTAATGTTAAATGTTTACATGTCTCCTTTGCGTTTGTATTATACCCATGGTTTAACCTATATTTCAAGAAATATTGACCGGTTTGGACATATATTATAAATTTAATATGTTAATTTCCCATTTTTTTTCCTGTAAAAATCTGTAACAACCCATTTATACAAATTAAATTATTTGGTATTAAGTTTTAGATTTATTTTTAATTCAAACCACCCCTTAAGGTACAGTTCCTTCCATGCAGTCGTCGCTAACTATCGAATTATAGCGTCAGCCTCAACCAACTGATAATTTATTTGTGTATCTGGCCTTTCTCTGTAGAGTAAACAATCAGCGAGTCCCGGAGGAATAGAACAACCTCAGGCCAATATCGCATAAGAGATGTGCGAGTGGAAAATGACGAAATAAGCTGTTCTTGAGATATCTCAGGACACGCAGCCTGCAAGATTCCTGAGAGCAAATAACCCTCGTGTTAGTTTCTTAACAACTTTATTGGTGTGGTTAGCAGATGACGTCCCATACCAATCTGTTTATTTTACTAAAAAAAGTTTCTAATCTTTTTTAAGTTAACTATGGATGGGCTTAAATATAAATCCGTCATGCGTCGCCTCTTGTTGTTTTTAACCAGTTTTATTGGTTTATTTCAAAAATGACAGATCATATTTCAATTTTATTGGTTTGACCGAACGATGCCCAAGTAGCATTTTCCCGACTTGCGACCACATGTTTACTAAACACAACGTTGGATTAGTTACAAAAAATAGTTAGCTCCGTACCTTGGGTATTAAAATAAATTTAAACGTTTTTGTAACGTTGTGCCGACGTTGAACTAATACTACAACAAAGTAAAAGCTTCTGCGACGTCGAATAAACGTTGTTTTCTAACCTTTTTTGCTTAAGTGATCTTTAGGTGATTCGGACAACGTAGTTACAATGTTGGGCAATAAAGAGTTTTCCGCCGTCACTTTCAGGACCTATTCCAACGTTATGCAAACCTCGTCTGTTTTACCAATTCCAACGTTGTTTAGATTTTCTTTTTCTTACGTTGATAGGACGTCGAACCACTACCTTTTTGCAATTGTATTAAACCATAACCTTAAATCTTAAGTTTTCACTTCGTTCAGTGCTGTTTTTGTTTTTATAAAAAAAAAACTTAATTAAAATGAGACGTAAGAAAGGCACATATAAAACTAAATTTAATTATACATCGACATATTACCGATATCCACTCCCTCGTTTATTTAGAATATAAAGGGCGGGACAAGCAAATTTTGCTTTGACGTTTGACAATTGATGGCCATGTCTAGACTCTAGGATGACTAGGATGACTCTTTTGACCATCGACATCAAGTAGATGTAGTGTATACCGATTTCTCAAGGGGCATTTGACAAGCTGGATCACAGCGTGTTGATTTCCCATTTAGAAACTTCGGGGTTTTCCCCCAATTTATTAAATTTTTTTAAATCGTATTTGAGTGACAGGAAATTAATTTTGAAATGCTGTGGTCAAATGTCTTTTGAGGTGTGCGACCTCTGGGGTTCCCCAGAAAATTGTTTTATTTCTTAATTTCCTTCTAGCCGATGCAGAAATTATTTCACACAGTCACCGCATCAGATTTTCAGTGATTAGGTCCTGAAATAAACTGACTAATTTTTTAAGCAAAAACATTGTGTCGGAAGAAAAAAATCAAGAGTTAAAAAATGTTTAGAAATAAATGGAGATTTTGAAAATAATTTTTATTTATTCTTAAATGTAGTCAGTGGTGTGCCACTTTTTTCTCTAAAAATATTCAATGTAAAACCCGTATGGACGGCACTGGTTGAAATAAATAAAATGCTTTGTACACCAAAAAAGGTATTTTGATGCATAGAAGACGTGTGTATCAGTTTTCATAAAGACGTCTATAATAAAATAAGAGTTATTATGAAAATAAGATTTTTTTAGTAAATTTTACTACCCTGTATTCAGTGGCGGCTCGTGACCCGTGTTACTGGGTAGGCGACAAAATTTTAGTTGTGTCTATGTGTCCATGGAATGATCCCTTACGTCTTCATGGAATCTCTACTATAAATTTTAATGCATTTCAAATATGAAAAATGTCTCTCAACCTAAGTACTTGTAAATAGTGTAGTAACAAACAAAACAAACAATTTGAAAGCCTCTGGAAATATATTTCCAGGATTATTCTCCTTAAATAATTATTTTATAATCGAAATTATCATATCTATTATTAATACCTGCAATTTATTCATTATGTTGGTCAATAGCATTTTTTGTTTGTTAAATCACTATTAAATGTGTTGGAAATGTATATCAATATAACAAGTTTGTTAAATCAGATGTTAAATGCGTTGGAAATTTTTTATAGGATTCTTGAAATTTCGGATCCGCAAGAGATAAATAAAAATAATGGAGACATACGAGTATCTGCAAAACTTTATTTCTAAATGTATAACAATGTTATCTAATATTTCATAAAATAAAATTCGCAAAGATATTTGACTTAGCCGCTTTTATTAATATATCGAATTGAAATACCACACTGAGACTTTTCTGTAATATCTGCTGTATCGTCTTCTTGCACCGAATAAAATAACGCGCTTTTTTATTTCGGATTCTTTTATTTCTGTGGCGTGATCTGAAATACAACCGGTTATATCATTTTGAATAATCTCGGACAAGCCTGAAAAAATGTTTCCTTAACGAAATGTGATATATCTCCTTATGAAATATCGGCAATATCCCCTTAACTTCTAAGCCTACCGAACCTCCACGACTTCATGCGAAGGCGACCGGAGATTTCGCCTAAGCCCCGCCTTAATACTGTTGCGAAACCAGTCCCGCTTTAATATAACCTAGAAGAGCCTAGAAATTCGAGAACACAGCGGCTAAGAATTCTCCAGCACCGCCCAGTGCGTTCCTGACTCCGTCGCACGCCTATATATATATATACCGACGCCGCGCCGGTGCGCAAAGTACAGACGATAATAAACTACAGTGTGCTACGGTCGAGGCTTCTTGTTTTTGTTCTAAATAAATACGGTAGATAAATAAGTTTGTAAATATAGTTATAAATAGTTCTTTAAGTCTTTTATCGTTATTGTTTTTGTTAATTAGTGTTAAATAAATTGTGACTTTCTATCCACACGGAACCGACGAAAAACGTAACAATACGATACAACTCCGACTTATGTCGCATCGCTACCGCACGATGAGTTAGACAGAGACAGAAGACTGCCGTACGTCGTTCATCGCCTCTGATAGTAGGCGATGTAGAAATCGCCGAACAAAGGCACTCCAACGGTCAGAATTATTTTGTTTTCTAACGCAGCGGCACAGTCAAGCGTACGCCAGCTGTAGTGAATATTTTAATATACAAGACCACAAATATTAAAATAATATTGATTATTAAAACACACTTCCGTGTATTAACAGTATTTTTATGTATTGGCAGCATTAATAGTAAATAATGTAATGTAATAAACCGCTTAAATTCTGCCAAAATCTTAGGGTAGGCGCCGCCTACCTTGCCTATCCTGACGAGCCGCCACTGCCCTGCATCTCAGAAATTAAGATGTTTAGGACATACATTCATATGAAGTTTTTTTTCTTAGAATAGGTCCAAGAATTACCCGTTAAATATTAGCACGTCATTAAGGAAACCACCGGTATATAGGTAAAATTCGTAAAATTACATTTTATTTAAATAATATATATAATTGAGTAGGAAGCTCACACAATCACACAAATTATTGACAAATTCTTCTTAACCAACTCACAAAGACTGCACAATAAACTTAATTCTATCGAAAATACAGCCACCGAGAGTTCAATTTAAATTGAGTGAATAATCAAATTTTATAATGGGGTTCCCCGACGAAATATTCCTCAATGGGTATATACCCTACACCTTCTGAGTATCTACCAGATATTAATAAAAAATACCAGATACACAAATTTCTTTATTATACCCATTGGGTATTTACCCACCGTCCATCACTGCTTCAAGATCACGGCTCAAGATGATGGAGACCAGCGCTGCTATTCTTGACATCGTTCGCAACTTTGCGTATACGCATTACATGATTATATGGCTTATTGCTTCCTCAGAGATGTGAGTGGTCAACAATAGATGCCCAGGTTCAGAATACCCAACGCTGCATCCCTACCCTGACAAAAACCAAATTGATGCTGTGAGAACAGACCCTAACTTTCAAAAAATGTTAATTTTGTGGCCATGCATTACTTGAAGACTTGAATAGTATTGGTAGGGCAGTGATCAACAGGGATTTTTTCAACATATCCAGGAATATATTTTAAAAGCAATTGTTATTGTTATTTACTTTTGCGAGGGGTACTATTATGAAGAAATAAACAAGTATGGAGTAATTTAAGTGATTGCTTGTTAAAAACTAGAGGAATATGACTGTTTCTGTGATGTATGCCTATATTTATTTTATTTTGTTTAGTTTAGTGTAAGGAACCACGTGTTAAATTTGCACCATCCGCAAAGCCCGGATTTGGCCGCCATCTTGGAAAAAGTGGCTAAAATTCGGTTTATTTTTCATTATTTGTCAATAACTCGATTTCTATCTACTTTAGTGCTAAAAATGTACGGACCAAAATTAAAGAAGAGGAAAAACTCTATAAAAAAACGTTCTATGTACTTTTTCCGTGCGACGACCCGTTTCCAAGTTATCTCGGTTTAAACACGCTAAATATATTTTAAGCAGTTATTATTTCCTCTATTCTAGGCAGTTTTTGTCTTTCCGAGAACCTCACTCTTTATTTCTCCACGCATTTAGTGGCTGCGACACCACATCCGCATTATACAGACAAGAAAAAATGAAATTCGTTAAAGTTTTACAGAAAGAAAAAGAATTATTACAGACAGCTGCACAAACTTTCAAAGACCCAAACGCATCCCCAGAAGATATAGAAAAAACTGGAGAACGATTTCTTCTTCATCTATATGGATCCAAAAAATGCGACTCATTAGATAAGTACAGATACCAGTGTTTCGTAAAATCTATTACCAAAAGCTTATCAAAACTAGCATCATTACCACCGACCAAAGACGCAGCTCGCTTGCACTCCTTCCGTACGTACAGCTATGGTATGGGAATGAAAAATCACCTCTAGATTGGGGATGGAAAAATTCAAAGAATGGGTTGATGCCCATTACTGCTTCCCAAGATGCAGCTCCCCAAAAATTATTAAATCTGATTTCATGTAAATGTAAGTAGTAAATGTAGTAACCCAAGGTTGTAATACATCTTGTAGTTACCGCAAAGCAGGTTTGCGTTGCTCGGTAATGTGTGCACTTTGTCAGGGCAAATCATGTTCGAATAGTTTGGAGGTGGCAAAATTAGACGAAGATGAGTACGAGGACAATTTTCCTCTCGATAAAGATCAATGAAAAGAATATTCTGCTTATGAACCAGATCCGGAATAGTATACAAATGTGGAAGACATTCAGGAATAATATATTGAACATCCGGTAACATCAAAAAAACGAAGGAACTGTGATGAACTTGTGGTAGAACGACATGTGGATTAGGCCTATTGGAAATGGGGAGACCACTAAAAAAAATGCGCCGGGTACCTACTTTATCTCAAGGCAGCTAGTTCCCTGAGAGATAAGGCGGTTAAACTTGATTTTCCACCAGTCGCGCAACAATAAAAATTTAGTCCGTTATTGCGGTCATAATGCAAATTGCGTTCTTCCATTATGACCGCGACAGCAGGCTACTGCCAACCAGTAGGAAACAAGTTTTTAGGCTTTATGTATCGGGGGTGCCGCTCAAGGTGGTGTGAAAACAAGTACAGTTAACCCCGGATATATTGAACACGTACATTATATGAAACTTTAATTTTGTTTTCGTAAAATTCGCACGAAAAAACACATACAACGTTTTTTATAGAGTTTTTCCTCTTCTTTAGTTTTGGTCTCTAGATATTTTGCACTAAAGTTGATAGAAATCGAGTTATTGTCAATAATGAAATATCAAATAATGAAAAATAAACCGAATTTTAGCCCATTTTTCCAGGATGGCGGCCAAATCCGAGCTTTACAGGGAGTGCAAATTTAATACGTGCTTCTCGACACCAAAATAAACAAAATAAAACTTATTCTATAAGTTTGTCCGGATTTGCTCCCGCCATCGATGCACTTGCCGACTGGCCTATTATTATTATCAACTTATTTAAAAAAGACGGTTTGCACTAGAAATATATTTATTTTTATTTATTGCAAATATAATAATTGTTAGGTAATACCACAGGTAATACCCTTGTTTATACAGGGTGTCCGGAAATTAATGCAACAAAATTTGGTCATAGATTCTTGAAAAAAAAATAGGTGACCCGTATTTTTTATTTTTGGCGAGTGGCCCCCCTTTTCGGACTTACAGCCCCTGAATTTCGCCCATAAAAAGAGTTTTTTTTAATATCTCAGGGTCCTGTTGGACGAAAATCACTAAATTCGGTACAGGTTGTTTTAGCATAAAATGACATTTTTTGATGCTATTAACTTTTTTTATTTTCATCAGTGGCGTCCCTACGGTATTTAAACTAAATATTATTGATGAAAAAAAAGATACGCCACTGTTTTTTTTAAAATAAAAATTATTTTTAAAATCCATATTAAATTTGGAACAAAAAATGTCATTTTATGCTAAAACAACGTGTACCAAATTTAGTGATTTTCGTCCAACAGAACCCTGAGATATTAAAAAAAAACTCTTTTTAGGGGCGAAATTCGGGAGGCTGTAAATCCGAAAAGGGAGGCCACTCGCCAAAAATAAAAAATACGGGTCACCTATTTTTTTGTCAAGAATCAATGGCCAAATTTTGTTGCATTAATTTCCGGACACCCTGTATTATACAGGGTTGTTCACCACATACGACACGGAGTATTGTAGCTAAGTGATTAGATTTTTACAAATTGTAAGTTTTGGGTTCGTTGAAGGACTATTAGAGCTACAATTTAAAAATATTTTTACAAGATACAGAGTGTCCCAAATAAATAAAAAATATCAAAGTTGTATTTTTTTAAATGGAACACCCTGTATATTATTACATTTTTACTTTCTACGATTAAAATAAAGGTTTATTACACTTAAACCTTACCGTTTTTGAAATATTTTCAATTTTGTGAAATTGCAGTCAAAATGTTCAGGCTTCATTTCTCCAAGGGTATCACAGTTTTTAATACTAAATATTTACTGAAGTTTATTTATTAATCAGATATTGTGTTGCAATAATAAAAATTATACTACCTTATACAGAGTGTCTAAAATGTTATTTTAAATAATTACTAGCTTTAAACGCAATAACTTGTTTAATTTAAATGGAACACCCTGTATATTTTATGTGAATCAGATGCACAGTTTAATTGTCTATCAAATTGTATTAAACCATTTTTTACCTATCTCTTCAAATTTCCGTAGAAGATGCATTTATCAATATACCCATGGAATACGGACATTTTAGATTATTTTTAAAGATGTACCAAATTTTTAAAGAGTACAGATACTAATATTGTCGATATACTTTGTTTATTTCGTTAAAAAATAAAAATAACTATTTAAATATTTGTTAAAGAGGACCAATTAATATGATTCCAGTATTCAAACTACATTAATTGACTGTTTGCGTTGATTAATAATAATTGCTCCAAATACTAGAAAACTGAATTTTGTATGTGTATTAGACAGTGTGGTAAAAAGTAACACCTTAAAAATGATATTTAATTTTTTGACAAATGCTTATTTATAACAACAGAGACGTTCATTTTCATAACTTATTATTTTATTGATTTCCGATTCAAATCCACATTTATTTAGAATAATTTATTAACAAACATAATTAAGTATGTAATTAATTAGTATTTGGGTGGAAATAATGGTGGTATATTTAATTAATGGTATACTCTTTAGTTTTCTTTTTGCATACAAATGGGCTAGTAATATTATCATTTTGCTCAAAACGATAATATTACTAGCTTGTACAGTTTTTACATTTGTTGCTTTAAAAACAATCTAAAATGTCAATATTCCATGGGTATATTGATAAATGAGGTCAAAATTATAAGAAAATGCATTTTCTACGAAAACTTGAAGGGATAGGTAAAAAGTGGCATAATACAATTTGATTGACAATTAAATTGTGCATCTGATTCTCCTAAAATATACAGGGCGTTCCATTTAAATTAAACAAGTTATTGCCGTTTAAAGCTAGAAATAATTTAAAATAAATTTTTAGACACTCTAGATGAGGTAGTATTAGTTTTATTATTGCAACACAATAACTGATCAATAAATAGACTTCAGTAAATATTTAGTATTAAAAACTTTGATACCCTTGGAGAAATGAAGCCTTAACATTTTTACTGCAATTTCACAAAATTGAAAATATTTCAAAAACGGTAAGGATTAAGTGTAATAAACCTTAATCAAATTTACCTTTATTTTAATCGTAGAAACTAAAAATGTAATAATATAAAGGGTGTTCCATTTAAAAAAATACAACTTTGATATTTTTATTTATTTGGGACACTCTGTATCTTGTAAAAATATTTTTAAATTGTAGCTCTAATAGTCCTTCAACGAACCCAAAACTTACAATTTGTAAAAATCTAATCATTTAGCTACAATATTCCGTGTCGTATGTGGTGAACAACCCTGTATATACAAGGGTAATACTTGCGTAGCTAGATATTCTGTGGTAATACCAATTGTCATAATAGGGCATTTAAAAAAAAGTTATAGGCAGTTGAATATTTTCGAGAAGCTTCAAAATTCAAGAGTAATAGTGTCGCTAGTATCCTACAGATGAAACTAGTAGACATTGCCATAGTAGCCAAATTAATATGTTGTTAAGCTTTATTCGGAACCTCAAAATTAGTGGTTTCAATTAGCTTAAAAGTTTGCTCTTCTAATTTCAATGTAAGCATTCAAACCGTCAAAATTAGAGGTAGTAGAAAAAGTTTACAAACTTTTAACTTTTTCCACTAATTATACTTCAAAATTTGCCAGTAATGTCATTTTAGCCGTTGACTTTATCATCAGCCAAGAGACATTATGGTTAGATAATAAAAAGTTTATTGTTTTTATATGCTACATCAGCTACATAATTATTAGGCTTTCCCTATGAATACAACTGACTTCCGCCAGCTATTGCTAGGACATTCCGTTAATTTTAATTGTATATTTTTAGATATTGTGAATGATCGTAAATTTTTAAGTATAAAGTGTAATTGAAACCACTAATTTCTAAGTTCTGAATGAGGTTGAAGAGGCATGCCTAAATTTAATATTTATAATTTTATCATTATGTGAAAATAGGTAATTTAAAATTTATCTTCAATTCTCAATTATCTTTTTTAGTTAAAAACAGTCAATACTTTCAATATTTTGGACAATTAAAACTAGCCATGCATAAGTAAAAAAATCTTTATTTTGGTTATATACCAATAAAATTAGTTCAACAAAACCAAACCATATTTCTTAAATATAATTATAACAAGTATATCAAATTCAATATTTGGTTATTATAGACAGTGTTGCTCATATTTCTGTTACTGCTGCTGTTAAAGAATTTATAATAGGATCCAATTGTTTCTCTAATGCCAATATTTGACCAATGTTACAATTTTCATTTGCCACAAATGTCACAATGAGTGGCAGTTTATTTATTTGCATGATCAAGTGTTGTGAATATGAACATATTAAGTTTGTTGTTTTTCCTAATCCTAGTTTGCTACCTTGATCGATAGCCAAACAAAATGTTGAAATGAAACTAGGTTTTATTACATGATCTAAAAACTTCTCTGTTTTGACCTTTAATAATGGTACCCCATCTCTGTCAGTAAACAATATACATTGGAGCCCCTCAGTTTTATTTAGTATATCCTGCAGACTTTTCTGTACTTCCGCCATATAGAGAAGTATTTCATAGACCAATAAGTTTTACAACCTAAGCTCCTAGTGCTGGTGGAGTACTTTCAAGTTCGTTTGCTTTTAGCGAATCTGGGAGACAAACTGAAATATGAAATATTATCAATTAATTTAAATTTCAAACCACAACAATAAAGAGATTTGACTAAAGCAATAATCCCATCAGGATGCATATGAACGCAGTGACGCGCGGTGGGTAAATACCCAACGGGTATGTAAATAAAATATGGGTATAAGGAAATTAAAATAACTTTGGTTGCACATCATAATACGACCACCAGCAAACTCCATAAGGCGACGCATGGTGTCATTGATGACGTGCAACCAAAGTTGTTTTAATTTCCCTATATATAGGGTGGTGACAATTTCGATGCTCAACATTGGCATCTCAGAAACTACGGGATATACGAATTCAGTTAAATGGGACAAAAGTTGCGTAATTAGAAGTTTGACAAACACCTATGAAGAAAACCCCGGTATCTTGGTTAGTTTCGGATTTATGTGAAAAAAATGAAAATAATACGTTTATTTCAAATGCCAATATCTTCAAAACTATTGTATCTATTGCATTAGTAGTTTTATATTTTTGGCGTCGGCCAATTATATAATTTGGCGTTTGCCGTTTTCAGAAAATTTCTACGCCTTCTAGATTTCGCACAACAACAGTCGACTTTTTGTTTTCTTATGGCCGCCATTTTGAATTTTTATGCTATTAGATAGAGCAAAAAATAATCTATACGGTGGTATCTAATTTTTATTCATTATTATGTCAATTCACTAAAAAAATTAGATTTTTTAAAAATTTGCTCATGATCAAGTCTGCCTTGGAATTTCAATTGACACTTTATATGACAGCAAGTTAATTTTTGTTTACTCTAAGTATCTATTAAGTGTCAAATCTGTGCCAGCTCAGACTGAAATAAATCCGGAAACTTCCAGCCGTAAAATAAGTCGCGAGTGTTGTATAAGTGATTATGTAGAGAAAATTATCAAAAAACATAAATATCACTATCAACTTTAAATTTAAATATATACCAAATTTACATTTTTTTACATGCTGGTGATCACGAGAGAAGATTACAAATTGCAAATGATTACAAAAATTTTGCATATGGTTTTGGGAAAGTGTTCAAGGGAGCCACCCCCTTTTTCTAGAAAAATATTATTGGCGGATGAATCTTTATTTACAAATTTTGGTACATTTAACAGAAAAAAAATCATATTATTACGCAAAAGAAAATTCTCATTTAATTAGAGAAACCAGACCACAAATAAGATATTCTTTGAACATCTGGGCTGGCATTCTTGACAATAAAATTTTAAGTTCTGTATTGACCTGTATTGAACTCTACTATAAAATTTTTGTGCATCCAGATTAGACAAATTAGACACTTAACAGAATAAACAAAAAATAACTTGCTAACGTATAAAGTGTCAATTGGATTTCCAAGGCAGACTTGATCTTAGGCGAATTTTTAAAAAATCTATTTTTTTAGGGAATTTACACAATAATAAATAAAAATTAGATACCACCCTATAGGCTTTTTTTCGCTCTACCTAATAGTATAAAAATTCAAAATGGCGGCCATAAGCAAACAAAAACTTGACTATTGTTGTGCGAAATCTAGAAGGCTTAGAAATTTTCTGAAAACGGCATTTAATTGGCCGAGGTCAAAAATATAAAACTACCAACTTACGTTCTAATAGATACAATAGTTCTGAAGATATTCTTATTTAAAAAAAACGTATTAGTTTCATTTTTTTGACATAAATTCGAAACTAATCAAGATACCGGGATTTTCTTCATAGGTGTTTGTCAAACTTCTAATTACGCAACTTTTGTCCCATTTAACCGACTTCGTATCTCTCGTAGTTTCTGAGATGCCAATGTTGAGCATCGAAATTATCACCACCCTGTATACCTGTATATTTAGATAAACACCCCAATGTTATAAGGGGATTCCCTATCGACCGCATAGTAGAATGTAGAATGAGTGGAAGGGGGGTTAATCACCGTGACCTCAAATATCTATTGTATCCCCCTTTCTTGAGTTATAACTCATCATACAGTCTATAACTCATCAAACATGGGGTCTTCCTGCTGTAGGGGGGACAGGGTCCCGTCCTCTCGATACTTGTCGTATGCTTGTCGCCAGGAGATGACAGGAATGATACTAATGACAGTTTTCAAGTTTCCTATTTCACTGTCACACCCCTCATGAGAGGTTCTCTCTCTCTCTCTCTCTTTGGTGGAGATGGGCCAGGCTCTTTCTTAGTTTCTTTACTCTCCCTTTTTTCGAGGAGTGTCTTCGCTTTTGTTTCCTCTGGAGCAAATCCCAGATATCCCCATCCCTAATCCACAAAAATCGAGTATTACCTCCAAATTCTTGACACCCGCACCGATTGATGCGAAATTTGCGTAACAGTGAATAGGGATATACATATGTAAGAAACAAAAGTTACATAGTAGCATAGGAGCGATGTATGCTGTCACCCTGGGGGTGAGTTAGGTTAGGTCCACCGCGATGGGACTCAAATATGGCCGACTTAAATTCCGGTTTATCAGTGCCGTTCTAATTTTATTTAAAAAATGTAAAACTATGATGTAGGGTAGACTTGAGGTAGACTCAATAATTTTTTTTTTATTTTACGTTGGGAATAAATATTGGTAGTTATTAAAATTGTTATAAAACATATTATTACAATAAAAATAGATAAGTTTTAATAATTATTTATTAACACAAACATCCGATACGCTACTGAAGCAGGTAGGTAAGTCAAATTGACGTATCTAAATTCTTGGACATCTAATCTTTGACGTTAGTTTATTCTGTGATCTTTGACAAGTAGTAAATAAAAGCAAGAATGCAAGAAAAAATATATAATTAGTTAATTTAAGTGAATTTCATAAATGATCGGTTTACTAGGCATATGTATATTATATGTATAGTCACTTACTAGCGAAAAGATGTTCCATTATTTCACTCGATTTTTGCCGAGATCTACCGCACGCTACACAACCAAATATTTTAGTTGTCTAAAGAGTCTTTTTCGATAAATCGCGATTGTGTCACTGTTAATTTAAGTTCTGCCACAATTTCCATCTAGATTAACTACCTTTATACAACTATCAGTAGTAGAATAAATAATAAATAACATAAAATAAAATAACTATTCACTGTTACGCTTACATAATATATAGTAAAGACTGACAAATCCACAAAATTTCAAATCAAATTCAAATGTGTCAAATGAATCGTCAAACAGAACTGTCAAGGATACCCACCAATCCCCACCCTAGAGTCCTTTTTCCACCCACCATGCATGAATACATGGATAGCATTATGCTCCTTCCTTAGTCTTATTCAAAGACTGTTCAAAGAGTTTTTAGATGAAAAATCAACATTTTCAATCCTAAATAACTAGTAGAATATTAATTTTCTGAAAAAATGTTATAGAACATTTTTTGCTTAGAATTCGTCCCTTTATTGATTTTTGCAATTAAAATGGGTGATTTATTTTTCACCCTCGAGAAAGGGTAGCACTCACCCCCAAAGTGAAAGCACACATCTCTACTATGTAACTTTTGTTTCTTTCTTTTGTATTACTACCTATTATATTATCTCTATTCACTCTTACGCTTACATAATATATAGTTGCGGCAACTTTTGATTGGCACCCTGTTAAAAGTGTATTTTCCTTCCAGATTAAAAATGTGATCAGCATAATAATCCTGCAGCCAGATCTTAGACTATTTAGGGCACACATACTCAACGATATTGCTAAATTTAATATTGAGACAGAATTAAACCAGAAACTGTGGGAACTGTGGATGTTACACTCTTTTATGCCATTTGTAAGATGATTTTAAAATGTCTGTACCATATCAGATTACTTGACATTACTGCCCAAAGAGATATAGCTAATTGATAATAATTGACTAAAACTATTACGTATACGATTGCTATGTATTTAGTACAGTATGAGGTATCATCAAGAATATTCCAAATAAGCAAAAAATTTACTTCAGGAAAGTGGACCAGACTCACCACAGCAATTTGCAAGTCGAAAATAGGCGTAGATATACACTAGAATTATCCTCAAAAATTGCAGTTGTTATTTTCAGCTCTCGACCACTATAAACAGTCTCCTTCAGCTTTCTTTGTCTAGCCTTTCTTCTTTCTAGGTTTTAGATTGCCTTGGAGCTAGTTTCTACCCTACCATAAAGTAAATGGTTTCAACTTTCTTGCACAACGAAGAAGTGCGAAGATAGAAAAGTATTTATATGGAAATGGTCAATTATTTCATTATTCTTTTAAGTTATTTTCACAAGTTAGCCAGAGACTTTGAACATACGCCAGAGACAACTTGAAAAATAAAAAGGCAGATAGATAAACAAAGTTACCTACACAATACACAAAACACATATACCCTATTATCCATGCCTATTATCTATGAATTATCTCATCTCATCACAGATCTCCATTTGAGTTAGCTAGGGATGGCAACGACATATCGATAAATTTTCTAAAGTATATCGATATATATATATATATATATATATATATATATATATATATATATATATATATATATATATATATATATATATATATATATATATATATATATATATATATATATATATATATTATTTATTATTTATATATATATTTTATTTATTTAGGTAATGGTGTGGATCCGGTGGCTGACCTTGAAACGAGTTTTTGCTGTATATAGTCACAGACACTACGCATGCGCACATCTTCGATGTTGCCAGATTGCAAGTTATTTTGGAATTATTTTCAGTAGAAAACAAATATGTGCTTTTCAGTGTTTTTTTGTTAATATATACCGTATGATCGAAAAAACGGCGTCCAGTTCGCTGGAAAATGACGATTGAGGACATTTCCATAAAATGACAGCGATCTTCATTTCATAGTCATTGCTGACGCTATTTTTTTTTCAATCATAGTACAGTACGTCCATGGCATGGTACAAAGAATACAAGGTATGATATTGCGCAGGTTGGTCGCTACGTCACAGGTGATAACAGGCGCTATTGGTCAGCACGCTCGCGCGTCAGTTCAAATCGTCAAGATATTGTTATAAACCGCAGTACGTCCGTCCGTTCTGTAGCTACGGGGAATCCGTGAGAGGGAAACGATATTCTCTCGATGTTTTTCGTAAAAAATAGACGAAGCGTCCCATCAATAAAAATTCAACAAATTAGCAAGTAGCCAATAAAATGAGTGGGCGGAGCGATTTGCGGTGACGCAGTCGTCAAATGACGTATAAAATATATTGCTGTTTATTTAAATGTTTTTTGTCCGCATTCCTTTCATAGACACAGATCCAGCAGACGTACTGTAATGTATTCTACGACACAAACCATCTCCCTTCTAAAGAGAAAAAGATAAAACATAAAGCTTATTCAGCTTATTTTCGTATTATCAACACACTCTTCGATAAAATATATGTCTAAAAATTGCTATTAATCCACTATATTTTTAAGAAATTATGATACAAACATTATAATCAAAATATATTATATTAGTAACATTATAGGTAAAATGTTACCACCTCTATCTCATTGACGTGTATATTGTTCTATAAGACTTGTCATGATAGTACTTCAATACATCAATACATATAATCAAAACTATTGTTGCCTGTAAATAACTAGAAATTAAATAATTCTAAAAAGTTTAAAATCATTAAGAAAAAATCCGTAAGTGATAATTTTTAATTCTAATGTAAATATATATAATAAATGTTATCATTATTACAATTTTATATATTCATAATACTTTCATTTCACAATCTTCATTATCCCTTCAATTCAATTCATATTCTTCTTACCTTAATTTTGGATATCAAGATTAATCTGAAATTATAAAATTAATTATAGAATTTGTATTATTATTGATTAACACTAAAAAAAATTTTAACTGCAAATAATTCGAAAATAAACTGCAATTTGGCAACATCGACGATGTGCGCTTGCGTAGTATCGATGATCAAATGCAGCAAATATGGGCTTCAAGGTCAGCCACCGGATCCACACCATTACCTTTATTTATATTAGGTAATGGTGTGGATCCGGTGGCTGACCTTGAAACGAGTTTTTGCTGTATATAGTCACAGACACTACGCATGATGATTGAGGACATTCCCCATATAAAATGACAGCGATCTTCATTTCATAGTCATCGGCGCTGACGCCATTTTTTTTCAATCATAGTACGCGGTATATTATTTATATTATTATTTTAATATTGGGCACAACACGTGAACGCTTATTATGTATTTTCATAGCCAATAAAATTAAATAGAAATAAAAGTTTAGATTCCTATAATTAATCTAATTGCTCTAGATTATTATGCTACGTTTAAAAAGGGCTTTATTAAAAATTCGGGAAATTAAAAGGAATGTGTCCAAGTTTTTTCTTTTTTTTTAATTTTTAAATGCTGTAGCTCCATTACACCTAATTTATGTGATTTTCTTAGCATATATGATTTATAAACCATATTTTTCCTAATGGAAGGATGGAATAGGATATGCAAAATTAAGATATTTTAACATTTATTTTCCAGACAAAGCATAATATAGTATTAAGATTAAGACATAACAAATATAAGAAAGATCTTAATATAAATCACAAACTAACTAAGTCTTAATTTGGTCTTGTATAAACACAGGTATAAAACCGAGTATAAAACTAATAAGATCAAAACTCAACCTTCACCATATTGTCAAGATTTGGCATTATAGGAAACAAGAAATTACAGTAGATTAAGAAAAGAATATCAAAGTACACGATATTAAATACTGTAATGTATTCTACGACACAAACCATCTCCCTTCTAAAGAGAAAAAGATAAAACATAAAGCTTATTTTAGTCTTATCACCACACTCTTCGATAAAATATATGTCTAAAATTGCTATTAATCCACTAACTTGATATTTTTATGAAATTTTGATACAAACATTATAATCAAAGTATATTATATTAGTAACATTATAGGTAAAATCACAGTAAAATGTTACCTCTATCTCCCATTAACGTGTATTGTTCTATAAGACTCGTCATGGTAGTACTTCAATACATCAATACATATAATCAAAACTATTGTTGCCTGTAAATAACTAGAAATTAAATAACTTGAAAGAAATAAAATAATTCTAATAAGTTTAAAACCATTAAGAAAATATCCGTAAATGATAATTTTTAATTCTAATATAAATATATAAATAAATGTTATTATTATTACAATTTTATATATCATTCCTTAATTTTGGATATCAGGATAAATCTGAAATTATAAAATTAATTATAGAATTTGTATTATTATTGAATAACACTCAAAAAAATTTTTCAACTGCAAATAATTCGAAAATAAACTGCAATTTGGCAACATCGACGATGTGCGCTTGCGTAGTATCGATGATCAAATGCAGCAAATATGGGCTTCAAGGTCAGCCACCGGATCCACACCTTTACCATATATTAATTTTTGTTTCGATATATCAATAAATATCGAAAGAAATTGTCGATATATCGAAATTTATACCGGTTATACCCGTTATACCGTATAATCAAAAAAAAAACGGCGGCAGCGATAACTATGAATTAAAAATCGCGGTAAAGGTGTTGATTTGCTGGCTGACCTTGAAACGAGTTTCTGCTGCATATAGACACAGATACCGTGCAGATACTATGCATGCGCGTATCATCGATGTTGCCAGATTGTAGGTTGTTTTGGAATTATTTTCAGTAAAAAACAAATTGGGGGCGTTCAGGGACGGTCAGCGGCTGAGTGGCTGAGTAAGTGGTTTCCCTAAACGGTCTCTTTTTACACGCAAAAACAGTCAGCCGCTGAGTAAAATACTCAGCGGTCGGCCAGCCGCTGTGTTCCCTTGAACCATCCTTGAACGCGCACATTGTTTTTTTCAGTGCTGTCAATATATACCAGTGGCGGCTCGTGACTCGTGTGACTGGGTAGGCGACAAAATTTTAGTTGCCTCTATTTGCCCACCCCCCTAAGTCTATAACTCATCATAATACATACTGAACATAATGTACAAGACAAGTAAGGTATATGTTTTTTTTTATCTATTACCTGTGCTACTACTATGGAGTCACTATGAAGTACATCATAGAATTTTATTTTATTTTTATTTATTTACGCACTAATTGCATGGATGATTTTTACGAACTTACTTGTGAGATATTTCTTATACTATTAATTTTGACCACCAACTAACAAGATTTCATTCGTCATATTTATTTTTTAGTAGAAAAATTGCCTGACATTAGCTATCCAGTTAAGAAATATACAGGGTTGTTCACGCTATTCGACACGGAATATTGTAGCCAAATGGTTAGACTTGTGGAAATTATGAGTGATGGGGTTGTTCATGGACCATTAAAGCTATATACACTTTAAAATTATTCCTAACCAAATAAATAAAAAATATCAAAGTTGTATTTTTTTAAATGGAACACCCTGTATATTATTACATTTTTAGTTTTTACGATTAAAATAAACGTAATTTAATTAAGGTTTACCGCACTTTAATTTTTCCGTTTTTGAAATATTTACGATATTGTGAAAAAGAACTAACAAATTTAATGCTTTATTTCTCTCCAAATACTGTACTGAAGTTTTTGTATTTACTAGATTTTGTGTTGCAATAATAAAAATAATACTACCTCCATACAGCGTGTCTATAAATTTATTTTAAATAATTATTAATTTTAAACGGCGCAATATCTTGTTTAATTTAAATGGACCTGTATATACCCTGTATTTTACGTGAATCAGACGAAGATGAGGTTTAGAATTATTTATTATATTATGTACAGGAAATTTGGGAGTGCAATTTAAAAATACTTAAAGCCTTATCATAACTTTTTTGGGACACCCAGTATATAACAAAATATTTTTTAGGATATGCATATATGCATGCACATAATTACACATTGATGGATATGCACCATTTTAAGGGTGCGTTTATGTTGGTGCGGCGATAAACGATAAGAGCAGCGATAGTAGCAAAACAAAGAATATTATTATACCGTATGATCGAAAAAAAAAAACGGCGTCCAGTTGGCTGGGAAATGAACATCAATGACATTTCCCATATAAATTTACATATAAAATGACAGCGATCTTCATTCCATAGCCATCGCTGACGCCGTTTTTTCTCGATCATACGGTATTAATTTATATGTAAGTGTTTATATTGGAACAACGCGTTGAGACACGCTTGGAAGTTGAGCAACGATAAGAGCAGCGCTAATTGTATTGGCTATTTTCTTTGCTTTTATATCAAGGGTGATCGACATGGATACCTATAGTTTAATAAGTTAAATATTTATTAGACCTGCCTTGTGGGACCAAACAAATAAAAAACATTATAATAGATTGAAATTTTAAAATTCTCCAAACTTGTACAGGGTGGTCGAAATTCGTGTGGTCGTTCGCCGTTCATAGTGGAGCTGTGATAGTAACAACGATCTCTGCTTTGCAAGTAGACGTTGAGACCTCTGTTGAGACCAAATCAATCGATTGAAAATATATTTGCTTAAGTGAGTGATTCCGAAGAGGAATTATTTTTAGCTTCAAATGCTGTTAAATATTATATTGTTAAAACTGCAGATAAAAAACACAAATTCTGTGCACACCCAATAATACCAGAAGGTACAGGGTGGTCGAAATTGGTCTGTTTTAACAGAGAAAACCTGTTTCATGACTAGATAGAGCAAAACCGACATAGATGTCATGGGCTCGATTTCTGAGATACGTTTAATGGTGTAAACCGCTTGTTGATATTTTCACAGCCAACAGGGATACGGGGATAATAATAAAATTTTGTAGAAACGTTCTGAAGGCACTTTTTTAAGCACAATCCAATGGCGTAGTCAGCTTTTTTCTATGCTTGCTCTTTTTGTCAGAAATAATAAAAAATATAATTTTTTAAATAGAAATCGTAGTTGACTATGAACTTAAAAAATGCTGGTGTTTAACCCTTTCCAACAATATAATTATGGGTATCTATTTTTAAGAATGAGAGAAATATGAGGGTTTTTATCTTTATATCGAAGCGGGCTTTGATTATATTTATGATATGATATGATATTATTTTATTATTTATCTGCATAATTAAAGACTTTTGTAAAGGTAAATTAACATTCTATTATTATTGGTATTAGTAATTACAACTGAAATCGATACAATAAACAAAGAACAAAACTAAAAAAAAACTGTATTTTTTGAGTGACGAATACAGTTTTCTAAATAAAAAATCAAAGATGTTCAAATTGAGCACTTCCTTGTTGAATACACAATAAACATCTTTTGCGCACAGAGTTACAACGATTTATTAGGCGAACTGGTTTAATAAGTCCAAAAGCTTGCGTAGTAGCCTTCTGCAATTCTTCTCTTGTCCCAATTGGTTCTTCCCTAATATATAAGGTCTTTTAATTTCCCCCATAAAAAAGTCGAAAGGAGTTAAATCACAGGACCTAGGGGGCCAAGATATGGTCCCCTTGTTCCAACCAATTCTTTCTAAATTCTCCATTTGATAGTTCAGTTGTAACCCTAGCGTTTTAATTGTAATTGGTAATACTAATATAGAATGTTGATTTACCTTTTCAAAAGTTTTTAATTATGCCGATAAATAATAATATGGAATATTAAATTGTAATAAAAAATAATTAGGCAACTAGGTCAACACAAAATCAAGGCCCGCTTGGATACAAAGATAAAAAATCTAATATTCTATTTATTTATTATTATGTTTATTTAAAATTATCATTTTATTGTAACATATTTGAAAATATTATTTTTTTATCTCTTAATAAATAATTTAATTCTTATATTAGTCTTTTATTTGGTAATTATAATATATAAAAATATTTAAATTCAAATAAAGGCGCGCTTTTTGAATCGCTTAGCGCCGATCGCAGCGCCAACTATCTCCAGATTCAACGGATCCGTCATTGGATTTTTATATATAGCTATTAGAGAACCAGTTATACACATTGACTTGGGCATCTCGTAGTTATCTCTGCTATTTATTAATTAGACAAAACGTACAATAGAAAAGTTATTTTAATATAGTACAGACATCTACTGATAGGTGGCGTAACATGTACCTTTTTTTGATATTTTCTAACATAAACGTGTCTCAGAAATCGAGCCCATGACATGTATGTCGGTTTAGCTCTATCTAGTCAGGAAATAGGGTTTCTCTGTTAAAACAGACCAATTTCGACCACCCTGTACCTTCTGGTATTATTGGGTGTGCACAGAATTTGTGTTTTTTTATCTGCAGTTTTAACAATATAATATTTAACAGCATTTGAAGCTAAAAATAATTCCTCTTCGGAATCACTCACTTTAAGCAAATATATTTTCAATCGATTGATTTGGTCTCAACGTCTACTTGCAAAGCAGAGATCGTTGTTACTACACTATACGCATACATATAATAATATAAGCAGACTTTGAAAATTATTGTTATTGAATACATGTTGGTATTAAAAAACTGTACAAATTGTAAGCTCATAATTCGTATAAAATAAAAATATGACAAAAAGTTCATTAAATTTTAGGATAAGTATGAAATTATGTGGTTTAACTGTAACAGTCAATTTAATGCGGAAATTCAAATAAAATAATATTCTATCTAAAACGCCATTCAGTTAGTTATTTAAAATAAAGTTATGACTATTTTTACCAAAAGTTAGAAATTTTGCATAATTGCTGATGAATGTCCAGCAAATTGCATTGGGTCGATCCACTGTGCGGCGCGCAGTCCGTCGTACCGAGAAAATAAAGTTGAAACCGTTGAAACTGAAAGAAAAAGTAAATACATTCGATGTTAAAAGTTAACACAATCTAAAAAGCAGCGCAATAAGAGAAATGCTTTATCCACGTAATTCCTGTAGGTTTGGTACGTTTGGTCAGGAAAAGTAAAAACAGAGATACAGAGATCAGAGATGACAACAATCACCTGTATAATTGAACATGCGGAATTTAGCGCGCCTGACGAGCCTTGAACGAGTCTGGCAAGGTTTTTGGGATGTTCCATAAGCCAGACTATATTGGCAGCTGTAATTATAATATAAGCTATCATCTGACAAATTATAATAAAATACGGGCAATGGTTTGGTTGGGCAATCCATCAGAACCTCTCCCCTCTACATATATATAAAATTTGCTTAGAATAACATACCGAATAATTATATTGACTGGGAAATTAAGTAACGAAAATCTTCACTGCTTCCTGGACTATGTTATAGTGAATTAAGACGTTATTGTAATAAATAATGTTTTTATTAATCCATCTCTGTTGAACGCAATTCATTAATAGCTAACAATATTAACTTCATATGAACTTTTACATTAATAGCTAGTTTTCGAAGATGCTGAATTTCTTTTTTAAGCAGTTTTAACCTAATATCAGCATATTTCAGTACTTCTTCAGAAGTCATTTCTAATAAACAACCTAAACCCAAATCAATGTAAAATAATTCATAATCACAAATGTTTGCAAAACAATTAATGCTATTTCCTAAGTTAAAATTAACATGCATATCGGTGTCTTTAATTTTATGTTTCTGTATATGTCCTATAGTATCCAGTAAAGTTTCCCATTCTTTAAGTGTATTTGACTTTTTTTCCAAGAGTTTCTGGATATCGTTTAAATCATTCTTGAGTTTTTTTTCTAAAAAATCTTCATATTCTTTCACTTTTACTTCAACATCCATTTCTCTGCTGAAAGCTAAATTAATATCTTCTTACACTCTAGCTATATTATAATTACCTAAACTACTATTTAAAAAATGTTATTATATTAATTATTGGAAAAGCTGGAAGGTGTGTATTTTCCATAAAAATGTTAATACCCTGTATTTATGGATAATAAAAAATAATAAATAACAAAACCAAATATTTCTTCTGGGTCGCTTAATAAAATCAGAGATCAGATAACATTATAACTTTAATTTTCCTCTAAAATATTGACTACATAATTCGTGTCTGGTTCGTGTTTTTGATATTTTTCTGTTAGCTTAGCAAGATAAAAAAGAACTAAAAACTAAACAGCTAATAATCAAAGAAATGAAAGAAATAAACAGAAATCTGAAAGCGTGTCTGAAAGATATCACAAGGATATAAGGGTAGAGAAGGGTATCACCAATCGCCACGGTACCACTAGTGTCTACGTTCCACTAGTCTACTGAGGCATCAGGCACCCAACAATGTTGCCGTTTGTTGTCTCTTAATTTCATGAATATTACTTCATATGCATTTTCTATTTAAAATACAAAATAGAAAATGCTTTTTCAAATGTATCTAAAATAGAAAATGCCATTTTGTAATAGTTTATAAATAATTTCGGTAATTTCATTTGAAATAGTTACCCACCTCTGATCAATACGCAAGACGTAATTATTATTTATCAATACGTAATTTATTAAAGTAGTTAACTCTCTTTTGCGCGACGACGCATCTACATCCGTAGCGTAAGTTTCTACGTTACGTTCACGTATACGTATTGTGCCATGCTTTAACTGTCTAAATGAACGAGAAAAGACGTAGTTTTTGAAGAAAAACTACACGTAATTATTCAGGTAAATTACGTTTTAATTAACTACTTCCGAATCCTGTTCTTTGCCAGACTAGCCAGACCCTGACATGACCCTGACTCATGCTCATTCCTTTTTATAGCTCATTCCTATAGCATAGTGGCGGCGCAAGCGGCGAGGTCGCGAAGTGTTCGGTTTGACTCTTTGACTGACGCCATTTGTTAAATATTCGCGTGGTTTGTTGTATATTTGTGACTGTGGCTAGGTTTTCTAGTTTTATCAATTGTAAAACGAATTATATGGTAGCTCATCATACGATATGGATCCTGCAAAACTAAAAGTGGTGGATTTGCGCCAAGAGCTCCAGGCAAGAGGCTTGGACACGAAAGGAGTTAAAGTGACACTGGTGAAACGCCTAAAGGATGCTTTAGAACAAGAATCAAAAGGTTTGAGTAAAGAATATGCTACCTACTATTAAAATGATATTTGCTTTATAATTTCTAGTTGCTACTATTAGTTTTCCTTCAAATATTACTAATTATTGTAGTATTTATAGTAATTTTATTATAGGCTTCATTTAGGCGGCAACGTAAATCCTAAGTATGTTGTCTCAGTACATTTATATATAGGTATTTTTTTTACATTTTTGTAATTATGCAAAATGTAACCTCAAGTTTTAGAGCATTAATATATCGAAATTTGGTATACTTGTATTGGTATATCATATACTTAACCTAAATTAAATTAAAAAATGGACAATAATTATCTCATTATATGTTTCACATATATTCATATTCATATGCCCTTTTATTTGTTTCCTTAGAACATTATTCGGTACCCATTATTCATTCTTACAGAGTAAAAAAAATCATAAAAAAATAATCTATTAATTTTAATTGAAAATAGTTATTTTAGATATAGAAAAATAAAACACGAATTCACCGCAATACACAAAAACACATTACTTTTGCATTGGACGCGCGTTTCGCTAACTATGTTAGCATTAAAACTAGTTTTAATCACCTGCTGATGAGGCTAACATGGTTAGGGAAATGCATGTCCAGTGCAAAAGTAAAGTGTTTCGGTGTATTGTGGTGAATTAGTGTTTTTTCCCTATAACTTTTTTATTTTTTCAGTTAAAAAAAACGAGATTTGGTATGTTAGTATTTAACCAGCCAGGACAAGACACGAAAGACATTAGACTATTAGACGATCAAAACTATTTTCCAAGGCTCCTTGACTAAAAATTAGTGTTTTTAACACAGCCATGGCACTCTAGATTGAAATTTAAAATATGAGTTTTTTTTCAAACAAAAATGTCAAAAGTTGACATATTTGTCATTCTATTCAGTGTGTAATTTTCTATTGAATAAAGTATAAATATACTGAGGGTGCCATTTAAAAATCAAAAGTTGTAGTCATTTCCGACAAAACAGGAAGTGACCAAAAACAATTCAATACAGGATTAAGATTAATTATATACACTAGTGTTTAGTGTGACATTAACCCTAATTTATGTGTTATACTAACATACCAAATCTCGTTTTTTTATCTGAAAAAATAAAATAGTTATAGGGGTGAGCCATTTTTGGAGACGCACCCGGTATACTAAAGGTACATTCAGGCTGAGAGCGTCGGGTCGCGTTTGCGACGCGTCCGCGTGTGGGAATATATATATTCACTTAACTTAAATTAGACTGTTCAGGCAGACAGCGTCGCGTTTGGCGTTGCGCTAGCGTCCGCTGAGCGTCGGGGTTCGAGTTCAATGGGGCGGACGCGATGCGACGCTCGACGCTCTCAGCCTGAATGTACCTTAAATGTTATACTTTAAAAATCATAATATCGTATTTCGTCAACGCTATTTGAACGAAAAACATGCAATGAAAAGAAATGTGTTTGAACAGATTTGAAATATGCCATTTGATTTAGCATCGAAGTCCGGGAACAAAAATGTATAGAGTGAGGAGTGTTTTTCAAAAGATGTCGTAGTTTCCGAGATATCAGCAAAAAAGTGAAAAAGTTGACATTTAACTCCTCCCCCATCCTCGAGCGCATCGTCTATCTTCGTGTGCTTTATCAGCCCAAGTCTAGAGGAACTGTTTGAAACCATTTTCAAAAGTGTGGGAATTTCTTCCACTGATGGGCTTTTTTTTTAACTACCCAACAAGCAAACTCTATTGCTGGAACGTTGCCAAAACTTCGCAAAGCAAGGTGTAACATTGCTTTTTTCATTGTAGGGAGGTTTATGCAAGGTGGCAGGGTAGCTTAATCTTCCGCCTGTTTACATTGCAGTGCAAGGTTGAAAAACATAATATTATTGAAACGTTGCTAATGTAACGTTCAGGAAAGTACTAATTTGAGATGTATTAGTAATATTGTTAATTTTACGTCAATACAATCTTGGTAAAATTATATTGTACCTATGTTTCAAAACTTATTATCCATTAAGCTTTCTATTTTGTTATAACTTATTAACTGATTTATCGCTAATATAATATAGCAAAAAATATATAATGTTTGCAATAAAAAAATCATTTCATTAGCAACATTAGCAATTTTATGTTGTTAACAATAATACATCAGTAATATGTTATAATCAACAGAAACATTAATGGGTATTAAATTGTAGACTTTCAGATAGGTATAATATACTTTTACTAATATTGTATTGACGAAAAACAAACAATATTGATAAAAATATGCATATCTCTATATCCATTGACTTAGAAAAATTAAAAATGCTCGGTATAAATATATCCCTACTAAGAAAGTCGAATTTGTCAAGCAAATTGAAAAAACAAATAAAAATTAGAAATTTATCACTTGTTTCAAAAATATCAAAAATACTGTCAAGTACTGAGAACTTACTGATCTTTTCGGCTGCTCATTAAATAAGGAATTACACAACTCCGACATCTGAGCCGAATTTCTAAAAAAATCTTATAGTTGAATGTCTGAAATAATACAAAATATATAGGTACAGTATAAACATTATTATATATTTCTTATTCAAAATACAAAAGGAAAGTATAACATTAAATATATGTACAAGGAAAGGCAAACTTATATTTTAATTGATTTTTTGGATCTTTCATATTTTGTCTTCGCATGTTGAATTGTCTTATTCATGGTTTCAAATTCCTCTTCAGTAAAGTTTTGAAATCTATATCCTATCATTTCTAAAATAGTAAAAATAAAAACAATCAGTTGTAATAAATATAAAACAATGAGTAACTTAACTCTTGTGACCTTATTTTAAAAATCTCAAATGATTAAAACATCATTAAAAAAATATTGAGAATAATTAATACTGAATATTATTTGTGATTTTATTATTAGATTGATATACTCGTATCCTGTTTTATCTACTTCAATTTTCAGTTGGCTAAAAGCTAACCTAAAACAAAATTTAGATAAACAAACTAAACAAAATTTGTTATACTTATTCATGGCTAAGCATTATTAAAACATACATGATAATAAAATTATACTTACATTTACATTCATTAAAATCTCATTCGAAAAGCATAAAACGTGATACCAAAAACGTAAAAAAACAAGTGCTTTAACCTAACCTAACTTCTAACTTATACCGTATTATAAAAAAAAATGCGTCAGCGATGGCTATGAAAAGAAAATCGCTGTCATTTTATATGTAAAATTATATGGGGAATGTCATCGATATTCATTTCCAAGCCAACTAGACGCCATTTTTTTCGATCTTATGGTATATTTGTTATATTATTAATTATTATTAACTTGAGCGGATCTTTCAGTTGAATCGTTGTTGCTATGGCAGAAAAAACGTTTTAATCACCATTCAAAAACAATGTTTCTGTAGCAAGGTTTCATCAATCACGACACAACGTTTAGAAATTAACATTACAAAGCAAACTGTTTGGGGATTGACTGCAATGTTGCAAATGTAATGTGAGGTTTTCTGCTTGGTGGGTAACTTGACTGGGGTACTGTAACAACCAGTACAAGCACAGAATAGCTGGTCTGGTGAAACTAAAAATTTGTCTGAGCAATACTACCTTTATTTTATTATTTTAATGTGCCATGTTATTATTGTTTTTACATGTTTGTTCATATGTACCTTTTTAGTGATAACATATAACATAGGATATCACTTTAGAAAATTACTTATATTACTTATCAGTCAAATGTCAAAAGATTATTTTAAATATTCTGTTGTTTCAAGTGCAAGAGTAGAACATCTTTTGAGGCACACTGCTCAGTAACTGCAGTTGTTATGGCCTAGATGAGATCAAACATCTCTTGACTTATGAGTTGGTTAAAGCTTTTTTTTTCAGAACTTTGAACGACACGTTAAATGAACCGATGAGATTTTTACAGAATTCAAATAGCTGTCAATTTTAAATTTAGTACAACTCTTATTGGTCCTTTGAAGTGTCAATCAGTCTCGCTAGCGACACTACGAAGTTCTGAGAACGGGGCTTTAGTCAGAGTTGAATAACTGTCACTCTCATGCATTCTCTTGTTGGATAAACTCTACTCTCAAATTTGGTAGGCTGTTATATGGCAGATGATTGTGGTTCTCGTTGAAGTTCGCGTAAATAAATAATTGTTATGATTATTATCAGGACTGACCGTGACGGGAAATATGTTTTGCTGACCAGCAACCCAACGGTAACTGACCATTGCCAGCCTGCTCGCCACTTAATCCTATTGAATCTATAATATCTGACACAGGCTATCTGAAATAATTTGCAAACAATAAAACACAGTAGTTTAGTCAAATTGTATTTTTGATTGGCAGTTCTAATTTATTTCACTCTATGTGTTTTTGGGGCGCTGAATCTGCAAAATAACCTAAAAATATTGCATTTTTTGCTTATAACTCTGAAAATATAACTTCTACAGATATTTTCCAAGTTTTTTAAGAGGCTCGCATTTATTTAGGGCTATATAAGTTTATAGAAGGACTGGTCTTGGTACAGTTTGGGTTGTTCCATATAACTTATTGAATTGTATTGATTGAAACTTATTTGCCTGAAGTTTCAGAAAATGGTTTAAACATTTGTAATCGTCTCTCAAAGCGAGATAAGTAATTATCAGTGATGCTATTAGTGATGGGAATACATTAGTCGCTTTACAATAGCGACCGTTCCAGTTACTACTGTTCGCGACCCTAGGAGCGCGACGGCTGCGGTGCTACTCTTGACATCGTTCGCAATTTGCGTATGCGCATTTACATGTATTGTGTATGGCTTTTTCAGAGATGCGAGCGATATTTGAAGATGCGAGTGGTCAAGAATAGGTACCCTGGACCGAAACACGGCGCTATGCGGTTACTGCGGTTCGAACTAACTCCAAGGGCGATTATAAATAATTTATTTGCAAATTAGAAATAATTTATAGTTTTGTCGTTATTATGATCGTCGTTCTTCAGTAACAAGTTCCTGATTCGTTGTGGCGCGCGACATGACGTTACAAAAAAATACCGCCCCAAAATCGCGTTACTCAAATACCGACACATTACTAGCGGCTCGCCTGTCAGTCTGTTGTCAGCAGAACTGTTAAAAGAAGGTTATATGCTTTAGACAAATAACGCGCAGTATCTCATCCTTTCTCAAAAAGGGATATTTCAATCTTAGAAGGCAAGAGTTGATTTTTAATTATTGTTACCGAATCCCGAAAGAACCGGGAATTAATTTCCAGTCCCGGTTCTTTGGTGGCCTAAAAGGACCGAGAATTCCCGGTAATTTTGAGACCGGGAATTCCCGGTTCAGAACCCTAGTACTCTTATATTAAAAGGATGACTTGTAAGCTAAGCTTGAATAATATTAGGATGACTATATCATTTCACTAAATATTTATTTTAGAATCTGAGAAACAAGCTGTGGATGAGACAGTTTTAGATGAAAATGTTGGTGAATCAAGGAATAATATTAAGAGTGAAAAATCTCCAGTTAAAACTCCAATTAAAGAGGAAAGCGGCACTCAGAAAATAGCACTTAAATCTCCATCTCCAGTAAAAGTTGGGCTTAAAGACGAATGCGAAGATGAAGAAATGTCAGGTGAAGAGAGTTTCCCAGAAAACCCAAAGGTATATATCTGTCTCCATATGAAGTTTTATTTATGCCTTTCACACATATTTAGTAACAGTTGTTATTGCTTATCTTTAGGTTATTTCTGAAAAACTACCTGAAGCAGTTTCTGACAAAGTTTCTGATGAATTAGTATCAGATTCGAAAGATGAGGATGGTAAACCTGAGGAGAACGGAGATCACACAGCCGAGGTGATTTATATATGTTACAGTAAAGGTTGGAAATCAGTGATTATTAACAATTACTAGTAAAAGCTCACATTCACTGATTTGCTAAGACTACGCCAAATACTTAGTTGTCAAGTTCGCCAAAGTTGAATAGCTATTTTTGAAACCAACTTTTACTAGTGAATGCTAGCATTCCCTGGACGAGTTTGAAAGATTCAGTTAGCGCGGTTGCCACATGTTGTAAAATATAAGGATAAATAAGTATAAGTTGAGTAATAGGCAATATAAGGATAACATTAAATTGGGCCAAACGTTGGCAACGTTGACAGACATCTGGCGTAAATTTGCTCTGTTTTTTGTGGTTATGTGTAATTGTTTTGTTATCGTTGTAAAAAGTGCTTTGCGGTATTTTCCCTATGGAAGAAATTTTCTGTGAAAAAATAAGGTAAACTAGGCACTCGCAAGAATATAATAGTGATTGCTTTTCATTTATGCAATATAATGAAGTCATAGCATAAGTTATAAGCGTGCAAGAGAAAAAATATTAAGGAACCTAGTGACTATGAACTTATTAAACGTTTCGATATGCTTAAAGTAGCGGGTTTGTAATTTAATAATTTTTTTAATTTGTAATTTTGATATGCTTGAAGCAGCAGATTTGTAAATAAGTAATCTTATGTTTATGAATGGTTTTTAAGTTTTATTTGTTCTAATTTTCACCAACATTCTTCCTCACCGTACTTGCCCAGTACAATAGAATAACTTTTACTGGCAAACTTTAGTAAATGTTACTTTCACTAGTGAATGTTAGAAATTACTAGGAAAAGTCGACAAATCTCTTTAAAATATCATATTTACTGATCTAATGCGTAATTGCTAGCATTTCCTTGTGAATGTTAACAATCACTGAATTTTCGACTTTCACTGTAACATATACAATAACATATATTTTTTTTTGTTTAGATATATTAAATAATTAATGCAAATTACAGTTTAAGAAAGGTGTAAATATGTGAAATATATAAATCTGATAATCCTTTTTCAGTCCAAAATTCGTGAACCTCATGAAGAGTCTAAATCTGAAGAAAGTAATACACAGACTGTCAGTACTAATGATACAGTTGCCCAAATTGGTAACGGAAAGAGGAAACGACACGACGATTCGTTTGAAGAGGAAGAAAGACGTGTAAAGAAACCAAGAGAGAAAACTTATGAACCAGTTACTATTAAAGAGGATGAACCAGACATTAAATATGAAAATGTGCAGATAAGTTGGAGTAAGTTCTATTATAAATAAATTACAATAATTAATATTGATTATTAATTTTGTCATGCTCATCAATCTTAATTTTTTATGGCTGCAGTGTTATATTTTATTTTTTGAGATTTATATTATCAGATACTTTGCTCTAAATCTTGTCAGAACTAGAAACTAAGTAAAAACCTTGGTAGAAACAGTTCCTAAAAAATATCATATTTGAACTTTTTTTGAATTTTTTAAATATTGTTTTACCGCTTAAGTTTATTTCGAGTAAACTTTTAATGATTTTCTTATCTGATGTTTTTATTTCCTGTTTATTTTGTTTTAATAATATAAAATACATAAATTTATTATTTTTCTAAAGCCTCTCTGGTTAAATACACCCATAATTGAATAAAACAGTCTCTTTTTGTTGTCTCTTTAATACTAAATTTCATTCAGTATTTATTTGTTAAGAAAAGCACTAAGTAATATCCAACATCAAATACATTTCTTATTGCTGACGAGTAATTAATATTCTTTATTTGGTTTATTTTAAACAATAAAAAAGAAGATTACAGACTAAGTTTAATTGTATATAATCTATTTCTAGTCGATTCTGATCTACATCTTCAAATAGATAAGGAATCCTTCTTGTCAGCTAAACCTCTTAATGATGGTTGTTTTGGCTTTATATGGGCGGGCGCTCGTGCGACCTACGGGATAAACTCTGGAAAGGTAACACCTTTTTGTAATAATTTCTATGTAGTCAGTGTAGTAGTAATTATTAAGTCTGTCCATCGGGGGAAGGATTATTTTGACAGATGACTGGCAAAAATTGAAAGAAAAATCAATTTACTTTTGAATTAATTTAATAAATTTTGACAAGAAGACAACTGTCATTGTCATGAATTCTATGGTTCGACAGACTATAATATAGATTGTGATGGTATTATCATGGCATATAAATCACACGGCAGGCTAACTCTGTCTAGATCCCATTGTTTAAAATTTCTATAAAATTTGACCTTGAAAACACCATTATGGGTGCCGAGTCAGGGCCGGATAAAAACGTATCAAAAAATTTCCCAGAAAATAAACTATTGATAGACAGGGTCGTATTAAAAAAATATTGTAATTTTATTTACACAATACTTTTGTCTAAACATATGAATCGTTCACCGCGCATACTGCTCAAAAAGTAAAAATGAAAAAATCAATTAAACATTTAACTGTAGAGAATAGACAATTTAAAATTAAAAAACATGCCAGGAGTTACAAACAAGAATTAAAGAAATACCCAATAAAATATCTATTGAACAATATAAAGAGGCTACGTACAAATTATGTCCATCAATGAACATAGCAAATTTTGTTAATATTCAAATTGCACAAATTAACAAATCAGCCAAAGGAAGAAAAGTAACTGATGAATTTAAATAAATGGCGATATATATACTTTTCCGGGCCAAAAATATACAAGACGCTCTTGACAAATCTATTTTGCCTTCCATGTTCAGAGACCCAGGGACACTAAAAAATGAATATATTATGACATCAATATCAAACCTGCCTTAGAAAATCTTAGTGTATTTGAGACTCTAAAAAGAAAAGTTGAAAGTTTCAATGAATCGGATGAACTTAATTGATATTGTGTTCGATGTATTGATGATATGAATATCAAGTGCAATTTATTGTACAATAGTGGTCGTGATAATATTGTAGGTTTTGAAGACCAGGAGAAGGGGAGCACTGGGAGCAGAGAGTTTAAACCAGCTCGGGTGTCTAATGTTGTTATGGTAAGTAGTATCTTTACCAATTGGAAACAATCCCTAGCTTATTTTTTTTTTATCACACTACATGCCCAAGTAACCATTTGAAGGAAATTGTATTTGACGCAATTATTAAACTTAAAAGTATTGGTATGAATGATATTTTATTAATAAGTGATATTACAGTTGAGGGTTGGAACCTTTGGTGTTACACAGCAAAATAAAACACTAAATCACCACAATACATCAAAACTCTTTTACTTTTACAGTGGACGCGCGTTTCGCTAACCATGTTAGCATCATCAGCAGATGATTATAAACTCAAAATTTTTGATGCTAACATGGTTAGCGAAACGCGCGTCCAGTGTAAAAGTAAAAGTGTTTTGGTGTATTGTGGTGATTTAGTGTTTTTATATACTGTATATTGAAAACTTGATTGAAAACTATTGAAATCATCATTGAGTTTATAATCATCTGCTGATGATGCTAACATGGTTAGCGAAACGCGCGTCCAATGTAAAAGTGTTTTGGTGTATTGTGGTGATTTAGTGTTTTATTTTAATAAGTGATATAATATAAAGTACGTCTGCTGGATCTGTGTCTAGTCTATGAAAGGACAAAAAAATTTAAATAAATAGCAATATATTTTATACGTCGACTTGACGAGTACGTCACCGCAAATCGCTCCGCCCACTCATTTTATTGGCTACTTGCAAATTTGTCGAATTTTTATTGATGGGACGCGTCGTCTAATTTTTTACGAAAAACATCGAGAGAATATCGTTTTCCCTCTGACGGATACCCTGTAGCTACAGAACGGACAGCGGACAGACGTACTGTATAATACACTACCAAACCACTGTTTATTAAAAATGTTCAGAAAAACAAAAATAAAACTAAAAAAACAAAATATATCGCTCAAAAAAAGAACGAAATAAATTAACCCGCACGCTACTGACTCAAAGCTGGCATAACTGTTTGTTGTCGATGACAAAAACTACAACTGACTACGACAATGGTTAATTTTTGTTGCTGGCACCCATAATGGCGGCGTGCGCAAGGATATGCGCGTAGCGTTCCCGCCAATGTGAGTTGGCCTGCCGTGTGATTTTTATGCCGTGGTATTATATTACACCTCAACAATGGCATTTTTTTAATTGTTAACAATTCCAATGTTAAAAAGTGTCGACAGATTCACCAGCGACGTGCATATGGTTTATCACTCCACGATAGATGGCACATGTTTTTTGAAAGACCCTGTATAGAGGGAATTTTTGTAATTTGCCGTCACGACTGTTGCCGCATGATCTGCGTTAAAATAATTTTTTGTTAAATGTCTATTAACAGCTTAATAAATACTGCATACATTTTTTTGCGGGTACTCGATAAAAAAAACCATTTTCTCTTTCATACTTATTGATACAGATTCTTTGTTATATTTTAAGATTTATTATAAAAATCAGGTTTTATTTGAAAACGTTTTTTGAAAAGTATATTCCTTTAATTTGTCCGTACAGGTTTGTTTTGAAGTTAAAATAACTGAAGAACTTAAATGGGAAGATCCATCTAAATACATGCAAGATCGTAGAGATAGAGATAGAGGAAGATACAAGAGTGGTAAACAACAATACCAGTTAAAGGAGTCTAATAAAACAACTGAAAATAAGCATGTCAATAAAGAAGATGAACCTAATAAACCAACTGAAAATGAGTCTGCCAATAAACAAGACGAATCTACAAATAAGGATGAAGTAAGTTAATATTGAGTCTTGGCAATATTTTTTTCTTGCGACAGAATAAGTTTTTAAAAATATTTTTTAGGCGGAAAGGACTGAAAAATCAAATGATGGCACTGAAAATTCTGAGAACACTAATAAAACAGCCGAGTCAAATTCTGAAGACACTAATAAAATAGCTGAGTCTGAAAATATGGAAACCGACGAAAATAAGCAAGTTCAAGCTGAAAATGTTGCAGAAAACGAGGTACCACATATTTTTCAACGAAATAAAAAATGAAATCATATAATTTTAATGATAACTAAATATTCTATTTCAGGATACCAGTAACAATCAAGAAATAACGGACAATACAGTTGCTGAAGAAACGAAAGAAAGTACTGGATCCAACGAAGATAAACCAAGTACAGAGCAGGTTGTTAAGGAACCAATACCAATCTATTACTTTAGAGTGGGATTTTCTTTACCCAAATCGACATTACAACTGGGTGAAAGTATATACTCATATGCTTATGAATCTACTGGAAGGTTTATAACTGATAAACAGTTCCAAGATTATGGAACAACATTTGGAGTCGGAGATGTTATAGGAGCATATTTAGTAAGTTATCCTAAAAACATCAGATGTAAATGTGGACATCTCTGACGTATAGAAACGTTGAAACAAATAGAAAAAAGCTAATAGAAAGATATGACAAAGTTTAATACCGCCACAATTCCGCTATTAGCTCAGACGTTATTTTGACATTTACCTTTGTTGAATTTAGTTATGGTACTACAAAATAATGTTGATTAATTTATGAAGTGTAACAATTTGTAAACTCGATTTTAACCTTTTTTTTAAATAGCGGCATCCCATTCATTTTTGTTTTGAATATTAAAATTGCGTAGCTTTGCCATGTGGCCTCATCTATATGTATATCTTACGGTGTTCGCGGTGCTAATAGTAACCCTAGAATTTGGGACACCTTGTACAGTATCACAGATCCTGAAGAAAGTCGGCATCATAAGAATTTTTTTATTAATTGATTTAGGTAAAATTTTACTATGGCGTTAATTTTTTTGCTTTCAAATGTTCAAAAACGACATAATAAATAATAAGGGGCGTCCAGGCCGGATAAGCGAGCAGGAGGGAGCAAGAATTCGGGTATGTTCTATGGGAACGCTTAACTGGTGTGGACGGCTCTGCGAGCGAGCGATTGATTGCTTGCTCGCGCTCGACGCTGTTCCACGCCGTGTCGGTACATCAAAGAAAATTCGCGCTTTTGCACGTTCGGTTTGGACGGGATTTTATTTACCTCGTTTGCGATCGAATATCAAAAATGGAATGGCCGAATGAAGTTGTTTTAGAACTAATAGAGGAGTACAAAAATGGCCAAGACCCGTAAGATTATAGCTAGCCTTTCTCTAGGTGAAATTGCTTTTCGGTAATTGGTATCACTTTTCATTATTTTTATGTCAATTAAATCTAATAAGGTATTAAAATCTGTAAGTGACATCCGACAAAAGTTCTTGAAAAAAAATTTTTCAAGAATCTTCTGTTTCAACATCGTTTAGTAAATTGTTACCACCATGAGAAACTCGATTTTTAAAAAGTTATGTTCCACCATCTCCTCTGCAGTCGTTTTCTCTTTTGACGTTTCAACAATTTATAAAATACAATGAAAGACGCACAAGCAATCATTTTTTCCGACATTATCAACGTGAAGTGATAATGAAGGTCTGGGCAGAAGCTGATCATGTGCTCGAGAGCAGCAGAAATCACAAGCGAATTTGAATAAATGTTTGCTCGCGCTCGTTACTGCTCGCTCATCTGGTCTGGACGCCCCTTTAGGTATCTGTCAAATATGACATTTAAGGAAACAAATGACTCAAAGATAGGTTTACGGGTATTTGGATTTAAAATGTTTGGATAAGCGTACCAGTTTTCAGCTCAGCCTAGGTGAAATTTATTTTGGCAATTTCCAACAATAGCCGTTTCTCGAGATAGAGGAATATATACCTGATATCGGCTCTGTTTATCAGCTTGTTTGGATTAATTGTGTGTATTATAATAAAGATCTACGGACTAACATCGCTTCGCTTTAAGCTTGATTTTCATGCATCCATTATCCGTTGATACGATGGTCCGACGGCTCTCTGATTGGTCATGGCGATTTCGCGCCCCTTTTCATCCATAAATTTTTTACTCCAAACCGTCAACGGAGAAAGTTAAAATAAATTTAACTTTTCGTACGATAACGGAAGTTTTGACACTTTTTTAAAAAATGTAATCTAACCTTAATAAAAATATAAGTAAAACAGAAAATCGTTGATTGGAAAATCGTTGATCATGGAAATGAAAATATAAAATGACACTAACGTATATCCGATAAATCTGATAAACGGAGGCATGAAAATGCAATAAATTTAAAAACTGCATAATTTTCTAACCAATCGAAAAATTTACATCCAACCAATAAAATTAATATCGTATCGACGGATAACGGATGCATGAAAATCCAGCTTTAGTCCGCTGATCGGCATTATAATACGTACAATTACTCCAATATACGGTTTTTCGCCGCGCCGTCTTTCGCATATGTGCGCGGCAAGCTTTCCTCTTCAATCTTTATTCATTTACAATCACAAGTATACAAAATTTTACGGAAAAAAAATTGTTTTTTGACTACTGCATAGTTATACAATTAAATTTGTTAGTTAAACAATTTTGCAATTGATAGTTAAATTTATACTAATGTATTATTCCGATTTTATATGATTCCAGAAGTAGGTTGTGATAATAGATCCAAAAATTAATCAGTTATAAAAAATAAATGAATAATAAATAAATAAATCATATAATACGCTCGTCTGCATATTGCAATACATCGCCTGTCGCACATTTCACCGTTGGGCTCTGCTTGCGCCAACATTCGATGCAGCGACCGGCGAGCATATACTCTGTTTTTTTCTCAGGTAAGATTTCGAAAGACGATGACAGAAAAAAAGTAGATGACGCCATACATCCATTTAATTAACTAAAAAAAGTTTCTAAAATTTTTTAAGTTAACTATGGATAGGTTTATATATAAATCCGTCATCTCTTGTTTTTAACCAGTTTTATTGGTTAATTTCAAAAATGACAGATCATATTTCAATATTATTATTGGGTTAACGGAACGATGAACGACAAACGGACGCCGATGCGTATGAACTCGACTTAAGATTTTTGAGAGTTGTCAAACTCTTGTCAAATTATAGGTTATAATTTTGTGTCAAATTATGTCAAATAGATATGATAAATATTTTGCATTTTGGACTGTGTTATTACGCGTGTTTCGAGTTTTTTTTTAAATTAAGTGGAGGAAAACTCAAAGGGGAAATTAAGTGTTGACCCAGACCATAGTTTACAGTTAATATTCGGTGCCCAGAGACAGTTTGTCAGATTATTATTATGGCCAGAGAGTTGTATTAGCCAAAAATAAAGTTTGTATAGTATCTTGTATATGTTACCAAAAACTGGAGTATCTGTAAAATACCAGCACACAATAGGTAAATAATAATCATATTGAATAATTATATTGATAAAGGTAACAATAGATGCAGGAAGTTGCTTGAGCTTGAAACGCGGCTTGAAAGCAGGAAATCTTTTTTTTTTGGTATGTGGTGTTTTTAAAATACACCCTTGCTTGTTTTGTATTAACGCATACTGTAATTGTTTTTAATAAAATATCTCGATTATATTTTTTCAATTTTATACAGTTTTTTTCACAATATTTAAGTAATCGCTTGTCACTCAAACTTTAAATATATTAATTTTCTGCAATGCGTTCCAATTGTACCAACTTATTTCTTTGTAAAATAAAATAAACTACTTGGAAAATAAAATGACAGACACATCTATCACTGTCAAGGATCTTGTCGTTGGACAGACTATACCTTAGTCACCGTCGATAATTTTCTGTTCATCGCAGCGACTTTTTCAACGGCGACCAGAGTCGCTTGTCGCTGCTGGCCGGAGAAATAGGTCGCTGATATTACTGATAATTACTGGGTAAAAATCGCCGGTACAAAAATATCGCTCATCCCTACCACTAAAAAAGGACCACCACCACTTATTTCTGTTTCTATCGGGGGGCCGCCGGCCGCCGCGCTGCTCCTATATTGCGAAGCTTCTGGTATTAATTAAATATTGGGACGAAAATTTTTTGATCTAGGCGCCCAAAATATGGTACATGTATTTAAAATTAAAAAGAGAAACAACTTTTTCAAATACAGTTTTTAAAATCCAATCAAAAACGCATCTTTGGTAATTTATTATTTTTAAATGTCAAATTTGAGAGAACCTGAGAGTATTAGATTTAATTTTTGATGTCATTTGTAATCAAATTTAAATCAAAAACTAACTAAAAAGCATAAATCGTCAAATAAAAAATAATCCCATATGATGCACACTTTATCTGTGACGCTGTGTTTGATTAATAGACATTATTAATAATTATTTTGTCGTATGATTAAATGTGATGACGTTTGTAGGCTATTGACGACCAACAAGTTACCATAACATACACAGTCAATGGTGTTTCTCAGTCGGCTATTACCGTCCCTCGATCCGAGATTACTCTAGAAGAACTTACCCTCTTTCCTCATATACTGTGCAGGAATTATGCCTATGAAGTAAACTTTGGTAATAGAGAAGAACCATGGTTTCCCCACCCTGACGAACTGAAAGATTACAACTTTTTACAATCAGCACCAAATAAAGTGTTGGGAGTTAAAAGTTTGGAAAAACGGAGTGATTGTGAAGTTAGAATTTTTTTTAACTGATCCAGTTTATTTATTGTTTATATTTTTCTTTGTTGCAGCTGATATTAATGATTGGTTTACCTGGGTCTGGAAAAACTCATTGGATTCAGCAACATTTGGAGTCAAGCAGTGACAAAGTCTATTATGTTATTGGAAATGACGCAATGTTTGAGCGAATGACGGTAAATATAAAAAACATTGATATTAAAAAATATTTTATATTAAATAAATTAATTTTTTAATTTTAATTAAATTAAAGGTCGATGGACAGCCATTCAAATCACGGTTTAGGGGTTCGTGGAAAGTGCTAGTTGATCAACTTCAGAAATGCTTTAATAAAATTACTGAAATTTCATCTACACGTCGACGAAACTTTATTATTGATCAGGTAATTTTTTCCAGTAGAATTTTTATAATAAATGTAGAAAAGTAGTGCACACTTAACTCAAAATAATTTTATTAACTTGGAGAACCATTTTCATAGTTTCAAATATTCAAATGTGCTCCTATCCTGTTTTGATAAATAATATCCATATTAGGATTCTTAGCTTTTAATCAGGGTTAAAAAAACATGTTTTTTTATTCTAGTCAAACCGTGTTTTTTATGGTTTAAAAAAGTTTTTTTGTAACACGTTGACTGATATACTGCCAAGTAACTCGTGGTTGATTATCTAGAGCCAGACGCCAGTCAGTCACGAGTTACCTCGTTCTTAATTGTAATTCCAGCGCTCAATATGAGTAAATTCATGGCGTTTGAGTTGAATTTCGTAGGCTCTTCAAAATACATAAATAATCTTGCCTACTTTCTAAATAAATAATCTTGCATACCATTCAGAGATTGTCATATTGTTGCCACTTTTTATCGGTAATCGCTAATCACAAATCGCTCTTTGGGAACGATTTCAAAAATGGTTAGGCGGTCCGATTACCAATCGGCGAGTCATCGGAAATTGTCACGTGCGTTCAGCACATGATCACTAATCGATTACTAATCGAGGACGTCTGCTGAATGCTTTGACTGAATGGAATAACTTCACTGGTGACTATACAGGGTGTTCCAGAAATAAGTGCAAGTATTTTAACTGGTAGGTATTTCGACCCCAGAAACACGCCCATCTGTGTTGCCAACTTTCTGTAATAGAAATTCCCACGAAGACGGTCAAAAAAGTTAGGTAGTTGTGTAGCCTTTGCTTGAGTATGTAGAGCATAATTTTGCTGCCATGTGAGAGTAGTGCAATCAATCTGTAATTATTGGTCTTTTGTGGAGCCTTTTTTGTATAGCGGAATGCTCACAAGTGCACCAGTCACTTGGCCAATGTCCCGTGTGCCAAATGGCTTGACAAAGTTCGTGTAGAAGTCTTACAAGAGTGGGACCCATATTGGTTATTTTTTCGTAGGCCGAGATTTGGAATAGCTGCTTTTACTTGAGAGAGTAGGATGTTTGCTTACTCTGTTGTTGTGTTTTGGACGGCTGGTACATAGGTCGCGTCGGTATACAACTTTTCACAGTATTTCCTCCATCTCTCGATTACTGTTTCAATTTCTGTTAAAAGTTTGGCTTTAAAATCCGCTTAAAATTTAGTAAAGAGGCAACAAAGCAATGCGATTTTTGAATGTCTGGAGTGCGGGAGACAGATAACATCACGTATCGGGCTTTTCAGTCACAGAAAAGCTCATGAAAGAAAACGCTTTGCGTGACCATCTTCTGATGCGTGTCAAATACTCGTCAACGAGTAATGGCAGTATGTATGTTAAAAGTTGTTTGTCCGAATCGTGAATTATACTGTACGCATTTGAATATACAGACTGGTCTAAAAACTTGATATCTGATTACTATCCTACTGTCACCAAGAACTAAAAAACTAAGTTTTTCCAAACAGTCTGGAAAGACGCCTTTCAAAAAATTGAGAGATAATACAATTTACCCATATATTTATAAAACTTATTTACATTTACTGTCCTCCATTCACGCAGTTGTGCAGCTCTGAACTGTTCAAGAACGCCATACTCTCCCTCCATTCAATTGAGTCATAAAGTTCAGAACAGTCAGTCTATCGCGCACAGCTCCTTTCAGAACCTTTACTCCCTTTATGTAACTGTTGTGAGACTGTGTCATAATTATATATGTCATATAATATAATTTTTTTGTAGCAGTCAAATGTATTCCGCCAAAGTCAAATTAGAAAATTAAGACTTTTTGAAGGATTCAAGAGAAGGGCAGTATGTTTGGTTTGTAATGAAGAAGAACTTTCTCGCAGACATAAGCAAAAAGAAGCTGAACAGGGTAAAGTTATTCCCCAAAGCACGCTTATTGATCATAAAGGTTAGTAGCTATTTGATATTATGTTTTAAAAACTATCTAGAAATCATCTAGTCTTCATTGAATAAAATGAATAAGTATTAAATTTGGCAGAATGACAAAAGCTTTCTTTTTGTTATGGTATTTTATTTTTGAGTTAACAAGTTAAACCAACACAATAATATGGAGGTAATAGTAGTAATTAAAATTCAATGAAGAAATTAGTATCAATAAATAAATAAATAAATAAAAATATTTAATAACTAAACTATATAATATGCTACAGAAACAGCTATACAGGGTGATTCATAGCCATGGTAGGTTAAGCTAGTGCGCACTTGTGCGAAGCGTGGAGAAAAACCGTGCATTGGATTAATTATATGTATTATATTGCAGATTCGCGGACTAAAGCGAAGCAACGTTTAGTCCGCGGATCTGCATTATAATACATACATTCACAGAATATCTAGCTACGCAACAGAAGCCTCGTTACATGTAAAAAATCGTAGGTCTCAAAAGGAGACAGGCTTTTAAAGCCTGTCTCCAAATCAGATATTTTGATGCGGTAGTTTCACTACTACATAACAGAGGGCGATAACTTTAAAAGAAAACAGTTTTCTACAAACGAAATTTAAAAGAATTTTATGCAGTGTTGCCATTGTGTAATTTATATTGTAATACTTCCTGATAAAGCCTACGTTCAAATTTGCTACATCATTTAAACATATTAAAATAGATTAGAGCTCTTTTTTCAAATGTTTAAGTATTTAACTTGCCATGTTAGTTGGAGTTAAATCTTACGAGCTGAATTAAAATCACTTCCTGACGTTTGATTCTAACTGAATCCTAAATTTTGATTGTAATTCGGCGACAATATAATAAGTATTGTTCTACTATTATGACACCACTTCCTGACGTTCGATTGTGTTCATACCGTATGATCAGCAATAAACGGCGTTAGCGATGGCTATGAAATGAAAATCGCTGTCATTTTATGTGTAAATTTATATGGGAAATGTCATCGATCGTCTTTTCTCAGCTAACTGGACGCCGTTTTTTTCTGTATCATACGGTATTTGATATATACTTGCGTATTTTTCATGACATTGCAATATTATGGTACCATGAAGCATATCAAGTGATACCCTAATATAGTACCATATTACGATACATGGCGTTCGATTGGGCTTAAACTTGGTATATTACGTATCTTCATGGACATTGTAATGTTATGTCACCATGAAGCATATCAAGTGGTACCATAATAGTACCATATACGATACCATTTCCTGGCGTGCGATTGGACTTATGCTTGGTATAGTAAGTATCTTCGGTGACATTGTAATATGATGGTACTATGATGCATATAAAGTGGTACCTTAATATAGTACCATATTACGATACCACTTCCTGACGTTCGATTGGGCTCATATTTGACTATACTTGCGTATTTTTGATGACATTACAATATTATGGTACCATAAAGCATATCAATGGGTACCATAATGTAGTACCATATTACGATACCATTTCCTGGCTTTCGATTGAGCTTAAACTTTATATACTACGTATTTTCGGTAACATCGTAATATGATGACACCATGGAGCATATAAATTGGTACCTTCTATAGTACCATATTATGATACCACTTCCTGACGTTTATTTATTGGGCTCATATTTGATATATACTTGCATATTTTTGATGACATTGCAATATTATGGTACCATGAAACATATCAAGAGGTACCATAATAGTACCATATACGATACCATTTCCTGGCGTTCGATTGGGGGCTTAACTTGGTATAGTAAATATATTCGGTGACATTGTAATATGATGGTACTATGATGCATCTACTATGATGCATATATAAAGTGGTACCTTAATATAGTACCATATTACGATACCACTTCCTGACGTTCGATTGGGCTCATATTTGATTATACTTGCGTATTTTTGATGACATTGCAATATTATGGTACCATGAAGCATATCAAGGGGTACCGTAATGTAGTACCATATTACGATACCATTTCCTGGTGATCGATTGGGCCCAAATTTGATATACTTGTGTTTCTTTATAAAGATTTGTTTAATTAATAGTTTTAATTTATTTTACGAATTTTAATTTATTGTACGATGTCGTGACAGCAACTTTTATGCCGAACTAATATATTATTAATTGTACCTGTGTCACTTTTTAAAATCTACCTAGGTCTATATAAATAACATGGCAAACAGAAAAAAATTGTTATTATAGTATTTTTTTTAGTCAATTAACATTTTTTGTACTGCATTTTAATAAATAATTTCCATTATTATTAAACGTATATTTCATTACTAACGTTTCAGCATTAATAAATATCACTATCAATCGCCCTGTATATTATTAATTGTTATTTTCTTAGTTAACATAATAAACTAGTGTATATTAAAAATGTATTTTGAGAGCATATGTTTTCTAATTTATTTTTTTATTTTTATTAATTTATTCTAATTTTAAAAACCAAACGAATAATTAATAGAAGTGTATCTGACAAGAAACGAAGAATAGAAAGAAATTATTATACACCAGAAAAAGAATGGGATGCCAATTAAAGTCTGTTTGAATCTGGCAACTGTGCATATTTTGCCGAGCTTCAAGGCCGTCCACGTGCCGTCGATCTACGTCGATCCAAAACCGAAAGTTGAAAATTTCCAATTATATTCTGATTATGATATTGTCGCGCCATCTAGTATTTTATTTGTGCAACTTTAGCTCTTTCATTTCGAGTATTTTTCTGTTGCGTAGCTAGATATTCTGTGATACATTTAATCAATGCATATTTTGATTTTTCACTTTTTAAAAGGGGAAAAAATGGTGCGGCAACATTGTAACGCTGAATGCAAAATCGAGTAGTTCTCAAACTTTAAGCAACAAACATATCTCTTTAAATTTTTAAAGTCAAATAACTCAGCTATTTTTACACAATAGGCCTCATAGGTCGCAGTGTTTGCGGCAGAAGACGGCCCCTTATTATCGAAACAAAAAAAAACTCGGCTATTTTCGACTTATTTGAAAAACGGCAAAGATAATATATATTTTTTTTTATTCGAGATCTACCAGCCTGAAAATATTTGCGCTTATTTAGGACTTACCTTGTAGAACCATGATAACAGTATTATTTTAATTAAAAATAAGTTGTTTTAATTTTCAATATTTGCTTGTTTGTTGAAATCTCCTTTATTCACTTTCACTAGACTTTAAATACATTTTTCTTATTGGATTAATTTACTCGTTAATATAGATGGAGCCAGATATATAATTTTCAACTAATGTTATAATTACTTAGAGCAATTTTTAAGTCAAAACCAAATATATTTTTCCACTATTTGAAATGGTGAACTCCGTATCATAAATTAGTACAGATTTTATCCAACTTTATGTTTTTATACCCAAAATCAACATTATTAACTAATTTCTGATTTTTGAAAATAGAACACAATTTATTTTCTCTATTTTACTAGTAGGTATTTTATTATATTAAACTTCTATAATCGGAAATAGTTAACTTTGTTAATAACTTAGTAGGTAATAACAAATCCTCATTTGTTGGGAAATTTTTGGCACACCCTGTATATATAGTTTTAGTTTGAGATATGAAATTTGTGTTATGAAAATCATAAAAATATAACTTTAGGTCAAATGCACATTCCTGAGGACTTTACTGATTTGGAATTTATATACCCTGAATTGAATGAAGAAGAGGCGAAAAATCTTATTAAGAAATATCATGAAGAATATCAAAAGAAAGGTTATAACAAGAAAGGTTTTAATAATCGCAGAGACAATAGAAGTATGACTTCATAACAATATAATAAACGTTTTGTTCTGAACTTTTGTGGTTTTAAGGAAATTATTATCCGCAAAACAACTATAGAGACAGATTTGCGGGAGGACGATACGACAGATATTCTTCAGGTGGATGGGGTGGTCGCCCAGGTGGCGGTTGGAATAGAGACAGAAGAGACAGTCGAAACCTACAACCTCCAGCTGATTCTGGATGGAGACCGCAACCAAGTAGAAGTATGTATATTTGTTGTTTATAAAGGGTGGTTATTTTTCTTGATGCTCACTATTAGGATACTTTAAACCGTTACATTAGGAGTACAACATCGGTTTAATAATAAAAAAATAAGTGTAATAGTGTAAAATAAAAAATAATAAATAAGTGTAATAAGTGTAAAATAAAAAATAATAAGTAATGTATTGGATTTTATGGTTCGTAGCGTATTTCAAAGCGCTATTTCTTTGTTTTGAAATTTGTCGTGGAATTCATGTCATTGTTTTCAACATTTTATTTTAAATTAATAGATAGTCAATTAAAATTAATTTATATAAATATAATTAAAAATTAACCCAAAATATATAGGGTCCGGCAATAGTGCGTCGGGCATCTGTAGCCCCTAGAATAAAAAACTTGACAATTTTGTTTTAAGTGCAAATCTAAAGTATGTACCAGGATGTATTTCAGGAAAATATTTTAACACTTCTATAGGCTGGCTCAAAAAAGTGTGAGTGGACCTGGATGATTTTTTTTAAATGGAACACCCTGTATATTATTGCATTTTTGGCTTCCTTTCAGATCACTTTATATAACCCTAAGATATGAATAAATACATTTCGATAGCTTCAGAGAAATTAAATATTAAATCAAAAATATATATTTTTCAGCCCTTCTTATAAAAAAATATTAGAAATACAAGAACTGTTCTGAAATCAAAACTATACTAAGTATTTACTTTAGATGGTCTGTACTTACTTTGCTATAAATATGAAAATCTTAAATTATACAGGATGTTCAAAATTCTACGCCAAACTTTCTAAAATATAAAATAATTTTTCTTCGTTTTTTAAATGGAACACCCTGTATATTATTTTTTCAATAGATGGAGAATTAAAAAATGAACATTTTTTGTATTTAGAGTATTTCAAAATTTTAACGGTTTCGCAGATATTTGCGGTTTTATATTTCATATGGCATTTTCCACAGTAAATTTTTATCAAAGCCACCCAATGATTTTTCTCTCGTATTTTACGTGTATCTGCGAAACCGTTAAAAATTTTGAAATACTCTAAATACAAAAAATGTTCATCTTTAAACTCTCGAAAATTTTTATTTTTTTTTTATTTACGATTACCATATTTATAGCAAAGTAAGAACAGACCATCTATAGTAAATACCTCATATAGTTTTGACACAGCTTAAGTAAAAACCAGCTCGGACAGTGTAGCGTGCCGCTTTGATCTTTTTACGCTCGGATTTGCGATTCGAAAGAGGGGGAACACTGGAGCGGCGAGCTCTCTCGCCAAAACCAAGAGCCGCGTAAGCGCCAGTCAGCCCAGAGATGTATTCAAAAAATTTTACACGTGACGTAAAAAATTATTCGACTGTGCTAGAACATAATTTAGATACACGTTTTTTAAATTGTTGACTTTAAATAAATATGCATTCTCAAAGAAAAACATTTAAAAAACAAATTAATTAATTTATTTCTAGAAATAACAGCAAAATGAAATAAGTACATTGATTACTTATAGTTATTTACGAATGTTTCTAAATTAGGAGCTTTCGGTTTTTGTTTGCTACATTTAAGTTCTTAGTAATATTCTTTAAGGTATAATAATTTCTAACTTTTGCGTATAAATTTAACAAAAAATACATTATAGGAAAATTTTGATTGATGGTTGAATTTAATTGTCTGAAATAATTTAACGAATTTACATAATATATTTTCATTTAAGAAAAGTTCTTCAAAATTGTTCTGAAAAATTTTATAAAAAAACTTTTTTAAAAACAAGTTTTTATTTAAATACACTAAAAAGAATAAAATAAACTTTTTCTTTAAAACTTTTATTATGAACTTATAACGTCATTACACAATTTTAATATTATATAAAAGCTTGTCGCGAGATTTGAATGTACAGTTGCACTCATAAAAATCTGGTACGACACTGTGGTTTTGACACAGCTTACAGAATAACATAGCTTTGACACTCGCCAATTTTTCCCACGCTCGAATTTAAAACGTCCCACTCCGACGATGCGCTAACTGAATTAAGCGACCGACAGTCAGCCTCATTCAGTCGATGCATAGCCTCCACCGGTGGCGCGTAGGGCCGTATTACGGAAGATTTTAATTCGATTTTTTTTCTTATATTTAACCATAGGTATTTGTGCTTTTATTTCAATTTTATTTGTATTGATGGAATGGGAAAAGGTTTTCCGGGATGTGCGGCTGCTGGTTGCACAAATAATTATGGAAATAATTCAAAATATAGTCTGTTTAATTTTCAATTCAATTCAAAATTAATGTTCAATTCAAAAGTATATTCACACTTTAGTGCTTTTCAAAACGATGAAGACTACTTATTTGGAGGCTTGCTAATGCCAAGTGACCATTTTTTTATTTAGTTTCCTCATTGGAGGCTAGTTTTATAAGCTTTTATTTAACTTGCTTTGTATGTAACTATCTATGTATGTATGTATGTTTGTTCGGGGCAAATCTTGTAAGCTAAATTAAAACCACTTCCTTTTATTGTAGGAGATTGAAATTTGGCATGTAGGTTCAGTCCCGATGACAATACATTTTTTTGCAAGGCATGACCCGAATTTTTGACAGCTGTCAAAATGGCGGCATTTTTGAGGTTTTTGATTTTTTAAAATTCTATTTATGAATGGATCGGGCTGAAATTATATATATATATATATACAGGTTGTTAACTCGACAGTTACTTATAGGGAAACAGAATGGCAACACTGCCTATTGAGAACGTATGCATTATTGATTTTTCTGCCGACTCGTCCCGTCGCGTCGTCTATCGACGAGCGGGCCGAGGTTATTTCAACCATAAAACTCTTGCCGCGAGTAATGAACAATTTAACAACCTGTATAGGTATATTGTGGGTATATACATATGAAAAAAAATATATGGGCGGCCATCTTGAAAAAATGACAGTTTAATGACATGTCAAAATTTCAAAGTCAACCGATTTTCATAAAATTGATATATAGGATGGCCATGGGCTAAAATGAAAGAAAAAAAATTGAGCTGTCAAATTTGACAGCTGTCAAAAAAATTTCAAAGTTGTCCGATTTTGATAAAATTGATATATAGGACGGCCATGGGCGAAAATGAAAAAAAATGTTGAGCTGTCAAATTTGACAGTTGTCAAAAAATTTCAAAGTTGTCCGATTTTGATAAAAATCGATGATGGCCGTGGGCTAAAATGAAAGAAAAATTTTGAGCTGTCAAATGTGACAGCTGTCAAATAATTTCAAATTTGTCCGATTTTGATAAAAATCGATATATGGATACCCCCTCTACCCCATAGTCGGTTTTCATTTTATTTGTCTCACATTTGAACTGTCAAATTTGACAGCTGTCGTTTTTTTCTCCTTCTCCTTTTATGAAAATCGATATACATATTATTAGGATACCCATAGAAAGTTATTTAAGAAAAAATTGCGTTTAAGTGTGTGGCACTGAGAAACCAGCATAACTAAAAAGTAGAAAATAAATTTTATAAAAAAACCTTTTTTAAAAACAAGCTTTTATTTAAATACACTAAAAAGAATAAAATAAACTCTTTTTCTTTAAAACTTTTATTATGAACTTAGAACGTCATTACACAATTTTAATATTAGATATATAAAAGCTTGTCGCGAGATTTCTCTACATTGATAAACAAGTAAATTAACTAAAACCTTCTACCCTGTCTCATTTTCAAAGTTTGTGTTATGATAGACCACTAGACCAGGAATTACAAGATAAAGTTGTCGTACCAGATTTTTATGAGTGCAACTGTACACTCAAATCTCGCGACAAGCTTTTATATAATATTAAAATTGTGTAATGACGTTATAAGTTCATAATAAAAGTTTTAAATTTTTAGAACAATTTTGAAGAACTTTCCTTAAATGAAAATATATTATGTAAATTCGTTAAATTATTTCAGACAATTAAATTCAACCATCAATCAAAATTTTCCTATAATGTATTTTTTGTTAAAATTATACGCAAAAGTTAGAATTTATTATACCTTAAAGAATATTAATAAGAACTTAAACGTAGCAAACAAAAACCGAAAGCTCCTAATTTAGAAACATTCGTAAATAACTATAAGTAATCAATGTACCTATTTCATTTTGCTGTTATTTCTAGAAATAAATTAATTAATTTGTTTTTTAAATGTTTTTCTTTGAGAATGCATATTTATTTAAAGTCAACAATTTAAAAAACGTGTATCTAAATTATGTTCTAGCACCAGTCGAATAATTTTTTACGTCACGTGTAAAATTTTTTTGAATACATGTCTGGGCTGACTGGCGCTTACGCGGCTATTGGTTTTGGCGAGAGAGCTCGCCGCTCTAGTGTTCCCCCTCTTTCGAATCGCAAATCCGAGCGTAAAAAGATCAAAACGGCACGCTACACTGTCCGAGCTGGTTTTTACTTAAGCTGTGGTTTTGATTTCAGAAAAGTTCTTGTATTTTTAATAATTTTTTTAAGAAGGGCTGAAAAATATATATTTTTGATTTATTTTTTAATATCTCTGAAACTATCGAAATATATTTATTCATATCTTAGGGTTATGTAAAGTGATCTGAACGGAAGCCAAAAATGCAATAATATACAGGGTGTTTCATTTTAAAAAAATCATCCAGGTCCACTCACACTTTTTTGAGCCACCCTATAGAAGTTAAAATATTTTCCTGAAATACATCCTGGTACATACTTTAGGTTTGCACTTAAATAAAATTCTCAAGTTTTTTATTCTAGGAGCTACAGATGCCCGACGCACTATTGCCGGACCCTGTATAAATAGTGTATTTATACCTAAGCGGTAAAAATTAAATTCTGTTTATTTTTTTTGTAGATATTAAACTTTATAATATCTTATCATATCATCTAACGTCTATTTATGTATTTTACAAAAGTTTTTGACATAAATAGCTATTTATTAAACACTTTTTCTGTTTCTATGAAGATCTTGAAACTGGACCAGTGCTGGTTATCAAATCCTGAAATTATTAAGTCTGTGGTAAAATCAAACTGTAAATAAACAAACGGTTTGTTTACATTTTGCTTGTATATAGAGTGGTGACAATTTCGATCCTCAACACTGGCATCTCAGAAACTACGAGAGATACGAATTCGGTTAAATGGGACAAGTTGCGTAATTAGATGTTTGACTATCACCTATGCAGAAAACTCCGGTATCTTTTTTAATTAATTTAGGTTTAAATTTTTATTCATTATTATGTAAATTCACTAAAAAAAAATAGATTTTTTAAAAATTCGCTCAAAAGATCAAGTCTGCCTTGGAAATCCAATTGACACTTTATATGGCAGCAAGTTAATTTTTGTTTACTCTATTAAGTGTCAGGACACAAATGAGGAAACACGATATATGTATGATGTTTACTTAAAAATAATAGAAATTCTACTTTAAATTTAAATGTTTTAATAGAAATTCTACTTTAATTTTAAATGTTCTAAATTCTATAATAGAAATTAACTTTAAATTTAAATGTATACAAAATTACAGTTTTTTTGCATGCTGGTGATCACAAGAGAAGATTACAAAGCCCCCTTTTTTCTACAAAAATATTATGGACGGATGAATCTTGATTTACAAATTCTGGTACATTTATATTTCTATATATATATAGTCTTATATTTTCAGTGGCTACCGTTGCAAGTCTCTTGGCTTCATCCAGACCTTTACCTATAGACACAACGGCTAAGTCGTCCGCAAAGGCTATCGTGTAGACGTCACTGGGTTGATCGATAGCGAGAACCGGATCATACATGATGTTCCACAAAAATGGTCCTAAAATCCCCCCTGTGGAACTCCCATACTGACTATCTTACTGTAACCACTCCCAGTAAGAACCACCCGTTTGGAGAAATACTACTTTACTTTCTTACTTTAATTAGAGAAACCAGACCACAAAAAAGATATTCTTTGGACGTCTGGGCTGGCATTCTTGACAATAAAATTTTAGGTTCTGTACTGACCTGTATTAAACTCTATTACACAATTTTTGTGCATCCAGATTTGACACTTAGCAGAATAACCAAAAAAAAACTTGCCGACATATAAAGTGTCGATTGGATTTCCAAGGCAGACTTGATCTTCGACGAATTTTGAAAAAATCTATTTTTTTGGTGAATTTACATAATAATGAAAAAAAAATTAGATACCACCGTATAAACTTTTTTTCGCTCTATCTAACAGTATAACAATTCAAAATGGCCGCCGCGCCATAAGAAAACAAAAACTTGACTGTTGTGCGAAATCTAGAAGGCTTACAAATTTTCCTTATTAATTAACCTTACTTACGTTGCAATAGATACAATAGTTCTAAAGATATTGTCATTTAAAATTTTAAAATAAACGTATTATTTTCATTCTTTTGACATAAATCCGAAACTAATCAAGATACCGGGGTTTTCTTCATAGGTGTTTGTCAAACATTTTTTGGGGGGGGGGGGGATTTTGCATAAGACACCACGACTGGTGTTTAGTTGTCGAGGTAGTGTCGGATTCTTACCGACTAAAAAAAACGCTTCCTTTTACTTCACCAACTGCAACGGAACCGCTCGCGCGAACTTCATCGCAGTGGCTGTATAAAAAACTACTTTAAATCATGTTGCTGGTCTCTTTCTCTCTCACTATATCCCTCATTATGTTGTCACATCTTGATAATCTTGTTCAGTTCCTACCAATCTTTCTACTACTTCATCAATATAAAATATTCTGTCTGTTGTCCTAAAGTGTATTCTCTTCTTTCATTCCATCGGAGACACTTGAACAAAGAATGTTCTACATCCTCTTCTTCCTGGCATTGATTACACAGAGGGGTGTTTGCTCTACCTCTTATATGTAGATACTTTCCAAAGCAACCATGCCCCGATAATGCCTGGGTGAGATAGTAGTCCACCTCACCACAGAGTCGATCCAACCACTTCTTCACATTTGGAATTAGTCTGAACATCCATCTTCCATAGGTCCCCTGTGTCAATCTTTCCTGTCACCTGGTTATCAGTAAGTCTCTGGCTATTCGCTTAGCCGTACCACTGTACACCTCTTCTCTCTCTTTTATTAAGAGATCTATAAGAGGAATTCCAGATATGACCCCAACTCCTTCTCCTGATATGGTTCTATATGCACTGCTCACCCTTATACATAACACTTTTTGCACTCTAACAAGCTTCTGCAAACGTTTGTGATTCTCAACTATTTTGTGCCATACCGGTGCGGCATATAGAATTTGTGAGTGCACAACGCTTGTCAGGATCCGTCTTTTGGATGACCTAGGGCCTCGGATATTTGGCATCAACGAAGATAGCGCCCTAACCGTTCTTTCTGCTTTAGCAGCAATTTTACTTATATGCTCTTCAAAAGTTAGCTTGCTGTCTAGCCATACCTCCAGATTTTCAATGCCTTACTCGGTCCAACTTCTGACCCCAAAATTTGAAAAGATATGGGAGTCTTCCTTTGTGTTGTCAATATTACAACCTCAGTTTTAGGTGGTGCCAACTGGAGTTGATGGTCCGTGTGTTACTCTTGCTAGGGCGGCGTTTCCCAAATTCATTACTGTTTCCTCATTATGTGCCGTTACAACCATAGCGACGTCATCAGCGAAACCAATTAAAGTCACGCCCATTGGCATATCAATCCGGAACAGATCGTCGTATAGAGCATTCCATAAGGTTGGTCCAAGTACCGATCCTTGTGGGACACCTCCACTAATAGTAAAATCTTGCGTCTGGTTTGTCAAACATCTAATTATGCAACTTTTGTCCCATTTATATCTCTCGTAGTTTCTGAGATGCCAATGTTGAGCATCGAAATTGTCACCACCCTGTATATAGGGTCAAAACAACTCGATGTGTATGATTGGTCTATATTGTTTACATGTTTAATTTTTGCTCCAATATAAGTCTGTATCCCTCTCTACTTATAAAATGTGTTTTATAGATCCCGCTTATGCGTCTCGAAATAGCTACGGAGGTGGTTGGGGCGGCGGCGGTCAAAGCCAGGGTAAGCGAATTGTTATAATAATAAAACATCTCTCTGTCTCTTGGTGCACGTTAACGTGTACTACATCATATGACCGAGGACCGCGGTTCGTATTCCAAATAAAATAATATAATATTCTCAAAGTAAACAAAGTGGGCTGCGAATATTGCCGTACACGGGAAAATGTCATCATAGATTATGACATAAAAAATTTACGTGCAACCGACTAAAGCTTGATTTTCATGCATTCCAACCTATTCCAAAGTTGTATCACCCTAAATAGACTTACTGCTTGAGTGATAATTATTTACTGCGTAAAGCTTGATTTTCATGCATCCGTTGTCCGACGATACGATGATACGATATTAATTTTATTCGTTGAATTTAAAGACTTCGGTTGGTTAGAAACGGTTAACCAATCGACGCCTTTAAATACAACCAATGAAGTTAATATCGTATCAACGTATCGTCGGACAACGGATGCATGAAAATCAAGCTTAAAGCTTGATTTTCATAATTTCTCTCGAAGGAAAATAACCAGAGGCCAAAATAACAAACTTTTTCTACTAATTGAAAATGACAATTGCTAATTTTGATGTTCTGAATGCTTACATTGAAATTAAAGAAACAAAGTTCTACGCTAATTGAAACCACTAATTTATTTCACTAATTTCGAGGTTCTGTAGTAAAAAGAAGATATAATAAAAAACACACAAAAACAAAGAAAGTACACGTAAAAACTCAACGTCATAAACTGTAATGCCGTTTTGCGTGCACCGCAGTTTTATATTTAGTACACTTTAACGTAAAGGAGCACCTAGACGTACCGTTCAATCCTTTGTAACTATAACTTAGGTTGGAATCAACAAGTGTTTGGTTCTCATGGTTACGGAGCGTGGTCCCAAAATCAACAAGGTTGGAGATATAGTGGACAAGGAGGATATGGTGGAAGTGGTGGACAGGGTAATGCAAGACATGGTCAACAAGGATGGAATTATTATGGCCAGTACAATCAACATCAAGGGTGGGGTAGTCAGCAAGTGAGTATAAATAATTTTTAGCTCAGGTTCAGAGAAATAAGTAAACATAGAGGCGCCGTAACATGTACAGTTACAAGATTGAACAATACCATTTTTTTGAGAATATATTTGTATACTTAAGCTTGATTTTCATGCATCCGACGATACGATGATACGATATTGATTTTATTGGTTGAATTTAAAGACTTCGATTGGTTAGAGACGGTTAACCAATCGAAGTCTTTAAATTCAACCAATAAAATTAATATCGTATCATCGTATCGTCGGACAACGGATGCATGAAAATCAAGCTTTACGCAGTAAATAATTATCACTCAAGCAGTAAGTCTATTTAGGGTGATACAACTTTGGAATAGGTTTCTTTTTTAAGATTCCAATCTCTTTTGGTAAAATATGAAGATCATAGGTGTTAGCACACGTTTTATCTAAACATTGCGACATGTATTCGTCAAATATTTTGATGACGGACACGCCAACCTATTGATTTTCCTATTATGCAATTACAAATAAAAAGTATTACAAATAGAAAACTTCTTCGGAGCCTCTTCATACTGGGTTACTGTGTGTATAATTTTTTATTACCTCATATAATGCAAATTCGTCTTAAGTAATAACATAAATCACCATTTGCAAGGTGTAAACAGAAACGCGACGGTGACAAATATTTGAGAGTTTCTCAGGGAGTACTTATTTCTCTAAGATCTATAGCATATATTTATTGTGAATGTAGAGATTATACAGGATTAGTGGGTTAGTCTTAAATAAGTGTTAAAATTTTAAACGGATGGTATACTTCAATCTCAGAAACATATCTATGAGGTTTAAAGAAGGCGTCCATTCTTCTCAAAGAGACCTGGTTTAAATTAAAAAAGAGGTAGAAAAAAGACTCAAAGTCTCGGTCTCAATGTTTATACAGGGTGAGTTTCCTACGGTGTTCTCTATGGGTATCTCGGAAACTACTGGAGATACAGAGTCGGTTAAATGGTGAAAGAATTGCAGTTTTGTGGGATCATAAATATGCGCCTTTCAGATTTTTGGAAAAGTTCATGGCTTACTAGATATTTCGAAAAAACAAATTTCGGCTATTTTAAAAATTCCCTAATTCCATTATAACCTATTTTAGACAAAAAGTTTTCAGATAAAAGTTGTAGATAATCACATCCTTAATGAGAGAGTGTTTTCCGTTTTTTTTTCTAAAGTCTGTCATTTTTGACATATGACACAAACATATGTTTTTTAAATGGAAACCATAATTGGCCATGGCTTTATAAAAAGCGCAATTTTTTAAGTTTTTCAGCGATATAAGCTATAATATGCTTTCTTCGAAAAATTATTGAGTTATAGTTAGTTTACTTAGTTAGCCATGGAAACAAGTTTAATCGTCTGTGCTCTCATAAATGTGAAGCTGTCACATCCAAACTTTGTAAATTAAAATAAACAAAAATTGTAAATATGAATTTTCCAAATGAAGAAAAGCGTGTAAGATTATTGACTCAACTTTTCTTGACCATACATTTTCGAGGATACGTTGACCGTGAATGTTATGTTTTTTAGAGAACGATTTTCAAGACTTGTTAGAAAAGTTAAATTTAGTTATAGCCGATTCTTATCTTTCTTAACTAATTTCACTTAGATTGCATGGCATTCTTATTCTGTTATGATTTATAACTGACTCAATATAATTACTAAACGGTTCTTTAGAATTTACATTACACAAACTAAAACTAAAAAAAATATCACTGCATACATTTTAAGTTATTTTAGAAAATGTTCAAAAAATCCGCCATTGTTTTGAGTTACATCTCTTTAAAACATTATTATTTATTTAAAAAAAATATTACCTATTCTCACAGAAGGACCGGTCGACTTATTAAACTTCTCTCGTACCGCCATCGCCACTTCGAGTGCCTCTCTTAATTCATAAGTTCTTTTGTAAACCTTATTGTTAATCATACTGCATAAAAAAAAAATCTAAAATGGATAGATCAGGTGATCGAGGAGGCCCGTGCACCTCTTCCTATCCCTGAGTTTGTATTATTATGATATAAATAATTTTTAACATTTCTTTCATTATGGGGGGGTGTTATAATGAAAGTCATGTTGGAAACACTCTATTGATGCGCGAGTATTTACACGCTGTTTATTTTAATTTACAAAGTTTGGATGTGACAGCTTCACATTTCTGAGAGCAACGGCGATTGAACTTGTTTCCATGGCTAACTAAGTGAAATTGTTTAAAAATGATAAGAATTCGCTACTCAGCTACTTCGCTAAACTCAGTAATTTTTCGAAGAAAACATATTATAGCTTATATCGCTAAAAATCTTAAAAAATGGCGCTTTTTATGAAGTTATGGCCAACTATGGTTTCCATTTAAAAAAACATATGTTTGTGTCATATATCAAAAATGACGGGCTTTAGAAAAAAAAACGGAGGACTCGATCTCATTAAGGATGTGATTATCTACAATTTTTATCTGAAAACTTTTTGTCTAAAATAGCTTATAATGGAATTAGGGACAATTTTTAAAATAGCCGAAATTTATTTTTTTCGAAATATCTAGTAAGCCATGAACTTTTTCAAAAATCTGAACGGCGCATAATTATGACACCACAAAACTGCAATTCTTTCCCTATTGTTACGTTTTTCGTCGGTTCCGTGTGGATAGAAAGTCACAATTTATTTAAACACTATTTATTTAACACTAATTAACAAAAACAATAACGATAAAAGACTTATAGAACTATTTACAAATGATTTATAACTAAGAATTTATTTTGAATTTTAGCGCGTCAACTGCACTCGTATATTTATAACTGCCCTCTTTAGGCCACAACCGCCGGCTTTTATATCTACAGCTAAAGGTCTCTATAGTCCATAGATCGTTAGGTGCATAGAGAAGGTTTCGATTGTTCTCGTAACTCCATTCCAGTAGAACTGGCTACTTCTCGAATCTTCGAATGAATCATTACGGTGTCTATTCTTTAATGCGATGTTAAGGTCATCCGAGGGCGGGCCATATTGTTAGGTTAGGTGGAGTCCACACCGGTCCGCAACACTATTTCACCGACTCTGTATCTCCAGTAGTTTCCGAGATACCCATAGAGAACATCGTAGGAAACTCACCCTGTATAATGTTAAACAGTGACACGTGTTTTGCTCATACGAGCATCATCAGACAAATACAATTAAAATTAATCCGCACGCACGTTCACATTTTACATATTAAAACAACACAGAGTGTTGTTTCACCCAATATTATATAAACGTTGGGACCGAGATTTTGAGTCTTTTTTCTCCCTCTTTTTTAATATCTATGAGGTTTTTCGCGTAAAATATGTTTGGTAATTTTGATGAAATTTTTCTGCAGACAGCAAAGTAAAACATTAATAGATGCACCAAAACACTTTATTAACCTGATTAAAACTTATTTTCATTCTATTTTAGTTTTAATCATCTGCATGTTTTGATGCAGTGGTGAGAAATTAGCGTTTTTATTTTGCTGTTGTAACACCAAAGGTTCCAACTCAAAGGTCTCCAACTATAATCTCCTTAACCCAATCTACCAGCCCTTAGTTGTACTTATTGAAGACTCAGCCTGTATAAACTATAATATGCAACCTTATAATACCGGATGCGTTTCGAAAGTGGCTCACCTCTATAACTTTTTTATTTTTTTCAGATAAAAAAAAACAGATTTGATATGTTAAATACGCCATAAATTAGGATTGATTGACGAATTCAATTGTTCACTTCCTGTCTCACCGGAAATTATTACAACTTTTGATTTTTAAATTGCACCCTCGGTATTTTTTTACTCTATTCGATAGAAAATGACACGCTGAATAGAATGACATATCATATGTGAACTTTTGACATTTTTGTTAAAAAAAATCGTATTTTACATTTTAATCTAGAGTTCCATGGCTGTGCTAAAAACACTAATTTTTAATCCAGCAGTCTAGGAAAAATAGTTTTGATTGTCTAACGTTTTTCGTGTCCTGTCCTAGCTGGGCTAAAAATCTAAAGTTATAGTAATTTCCGGTGAAACAGGAAGTGACCAAAAACAATTGAATATGCCAATCAATCCTATTTTGTGTCATATACTAACATACAAAATCTCGTTTTTTTTATCTGAAAAAAAAATAAAATAGTTATAGGGTTGAGCCACTTTTGATCGCATCTGGTATGTAGATAAAATGGTTGTTATGAACAACCAAAGTTTATATGTATACAGGGTGTCAAAAAAATAGTGTATCTAACTCTTTAGATACAGTAATTTAAACAAATGACATAAAAAGATAAGACTTTTTTACGTAAAAAAGGTGCTCTCTTCATTTAGTTTGATACAGTGAACCGTCCTCTCAAGATATTTGTGTTTAAAGGTTAGAATACTTCGATTTTTGTATTAGCGAAATGACGAATTCCCTCTGTACGGAAATTATAAATCATTAATCTCATGATTTCGCTAATACTGAAATCGACGCATCGTAACCTTTAAATGCAAATATCTTGAAAACCGTTCACCGTATCGAAGAAAACAAAGAGCACCGTTCTTACGTAAAAAGGCCCTAGCTTGTTATGTCATTTGTTGAAATTACTTTATCTATAAGGATAAAAAAGTACCACCAGAATAGTATTCTCTACCATAACAGCGCTTTCAGATGGAGCGGACCGTACGCGCCGTTTTTTTTTCAATATAGCTTATCCGGACGGAGCATACGCGACCCATGTGAAATCGTTCATATAAACTCATGGTACTTGCTCGAAGTCGCGGACGCTCCGCTCCATCTGAAAACGCTGTAAAGAAGGAAGGGGAAGACACTAAGGTCGCGGTGATTAATCTCTCTCTTAAACATTCTGCATTCTATCAAATTTCAAGCAAAAAGGTTTACCAATATTCTTAAAAATGAACAAAATATAATATTTTTATTTACCTTTTCGAGTGCTGTAACTTCTTCGGGAAGCATTTTAGGGCATATGTTCATAGAAACTTTTTTTATCTGTAGAATCACCCACCAAAGTTAGATACACAATTTTTTGACACCCTGTATGTAGGTATTTTTTAAGTATACAAACATATGGTTTTATAAATTTATTTTTTTAGGGCCGGAAATAAAGAATGCTTTTGACCACAACACATCTTCATAATGTTCTCATTTTCTGAGAAATGTAATTTAAGTTAAAATTTAGCAAAATAATGAATTGTGAGGATAAATCTGGTAATGCACTTTAATGCTAAATCAACTTGTTTAAAGAGATGGTAAACTGATTTTAAATTTTCGATTGAAGGTTGTTGGGATATAAACCATAATATCTATCTTCATACAATTTACATATTTACTTTTTTATGATAATATTTTAAACATTTCGTCCTCTATATCACATAAAGACGAAACTGAAAACTCGAAAAAGCGAGTTAACGCCACTTTAGACTTCCATGCAGACATAACTTTTATCTCACAAAGTACTGTAACTGTATCTATCACGGTATCAAGGCGGTGATAGTATTTGGATTCAACGTGTCTTACAAAAGTTACGTAAAATTATTAAAGTTTAATATAAGTAACTTTATTTTCTTCTTTCCTGACAAATTTACTAAATGCGAGTTACGCCAGTACGTGAAATAGGGGACGATTTGTTTAAAAAATAAGAAACTTGTGTTATATAGTGAAATTATCAGTATTCCAAAGTTGGGGTCAATGTGAAATATATTCTACAGTATATTTTACTAGGACAATGGGAAAACATAAATTGACTAACTTAATTATATAAAATGACTTAAGATATTTTAAGAAATTAAATGTTTTTTTATTAATTTTTGCCAATTTATATTTGGCAATCACTATATGTGTTGCAAATAAAAAAAACTTTTTTTAAGTAGTTTGCACTCTTGTATGTAGTTATAAATATATTTTCCATAAATTGTAAAAAAGATCCGAATAAGGAAATATAAAATTTAACAGACAGTTAAAATTTTTATTTACATTTATGTAAACTGTACAGGGTGTACCATTTACGTGTATTTTACAGGGTTTCTCGTTTATGAGTAGAGACACAAAGATACGGCTTTCACATCACTGTGCTACTTTTTTATAGAACTAAAGATGCTACACACAGATTAGCCCTCTTAGTTTCTGAGATGCAGGGCGAATTTGAAAATTTCGCATCGAGATCGAAAAAATGCAAAATTTTGAAATTCGTCTATATCAGGAACTAGGGGGGCTAGGAAAAATCTGTGTGTAGTATCTTTAGTTTCAAAACGTAGAATTTAAAAAGTGATGTGAAAATCGCATCTTTGTACCTTACTCAAAAATAATGAGAAACGCTGTAAATGGGACACTCTGTACAATTACTACCATATTACAGTCATTGTATATAATGCTTTCCCAAAATAACTGGAAATAAAAGTTTTATTTGTTTGACATTTTATTATTAACTGATCCATTTATTATACCTATTTCCATCATTTTCCAAAAACAAAATCAACTTAATTGAAACAGAAACAGAGGGAATTCATTGTATATATGTGGCACTGTTTTTTTTTCTGAAATGTAGATTGAAACATTAATAATAATAAAGTCTTTATTGCAACAATTAACATAAATTATTACAAAAGGAGGTACATTCTATTTATTTTTTGTTTCTCTATAGAACGCCTCGAAATAACTTAGCATTTTTAGTAATTGTATATATATTTTAAATAGATCTTTTAAAAAAGAAATCCACATTTGTTTTTATTTACGTTTTATTGTATTTTTGTTACTTTTATATACAGGGTGTTTCCGAAGTAGTCTAAGAATTCTAGGGTGTGATTCCTCTTATGTTTTTAGGAAAAAAATTATATGAACATGAGGTCTAGAGTACTTCCTGTCTGATCTACAGGGTGTTAATTTTTTTAAATCGGATTTATTGCAATATGTTAGAAACTACTTCAGTTTTAGTATGTGATTTCCTGGTATAAAATCAACTGTTGTTTTTCTGCTTGGAGCAGTGGTGTCCGTACGCACATATCTCTGGATTATTTGATTAAAATAAATGAAACGCCACTGCTTTTCTTCGAAAAAAATCTTGGTTGCACTTCTTTTTTAAATAAGATTGATCTCATCGACCGGATTTCGAGATGAAAAATCAACTAAAAGCTCGAATTGTTATCCATTGTATGCTCCTTTTCTAGCGATATTTTCTAGCATTTCTGAGATATGCAATGTAAGTATGTATTGACAATCCAGAAAAAAAGTTTTTCAAAAAAAAACAGTAGGTTGCCATTTACTTTAAGTAAGAAATTCGATTTTCTTAAATTTTTAACACCCTGTCGATCAGAAAGAAATTACTTTATACCCCATGTTTATAGAAACGTTTTGTCTTAAAACATATGAAGAATCACACCCTATAATGTTTAGACTAGTTAAGAAATACCCTATATGTACAACATTATATGGATATTTCTAATATTATTTCAATAGTAAATGTTGGCACTTATGTATAAATTTATAACTAGTAAACGAGGTATTATATGTATATAGAATATTCATAGTACAACAAATTAATTAATAACCTAACATTTAATAGTTTACTCAATTAATCTGAACTTTTTATTGGATATTAGTACCATACGATTGAAAAAAATCGGCGTCAGAGATGATTTGGAAATGAAGATCTGTCATTTTGTATGTAAAATTATATGGGGAATGTCATCGATCGTCGCTTCCGCGCCAACTGGATGCCTTTTTTTTCGATTATAGATCTTTTTAAATAAAAGACAGCTATTTAATAAAGAATGTCCCATTGAGTTAATTCAATATGTAACATAGTATACGTCGTGGTTTGAAATAAAAACTGATTTTTCCAAGTAGCGAAATTGTTTGTTTTTATGTATGCCTATATCTTTAATATACAGGGTGCTACAAATTCGAGGTACGAGCATTGGTATCTCGGAAACCATAATAGATACAAAGATGGTTAAATTCGGGCAAAGTTGCGCTTTCGGATGTTCACAAAGATGCTATCGAAATTTTTTTAAAAAATTCAATTTCTGATTGCTGAGTTTTTTTTGGGGAAAAAACGTATTTTTTTTAATCAATTTTATTTTATCCTGTCGTTACTTTTTAGAAATTCAAAAATCTAATTGCACATTCTCTTAGCCACTTTATTACGGCTATCTGCTAGTATTTTTAGATTTTCAAATTAGCTGATTGTGAGATACAGAGGCCATCTTAATTTTTTTGAATATGGACCTGCATTTTTTATGAAAAATAATATAAAATAAATAATACGTATAAATATAATATAATACAAACAATCGAATACATCTCAACATTTACAATAAAGAGTAAAAAATGCATTCAGAAATATAAGAAGAAAGTTCAAAGAGCTATAACTAAAATTGTACGAAAAATAAATTTATGCAATAGGGAGGGTGGCAACCATAGACTTAAAATAAAATATAGACTACACTATTTACATCTCAACGCGGACAAACAACCTTTTTTGTACACATGTTTACTTCTGGGTACAGTCGACCGAGCCTTCCTCATCCAGCCTATGTTGTCACGTCTTTAATATTATCAATATTTTTTTTCTTGTTATACACATATATATTGAGATATTAATACTACAGTTTAATAAAGTAGGTTTTAATATTCCATAGATGTATTAAATAGTCCTTATACTACTAAATTATAAGTCGGATACTGTTTAATAAGGATAAGTTCTTTACAATATGACAACACCGATTAGACAAACTACATTCATTTATTACCTTTTCAGGGTTCGGAAGTAGTTAATTAAGACGTAATTTACCTGATTACACGTGTAGTTTTCTTCAAAACTACGTCTTTTCCAGTTCATAACTACATGAAAAAACTATGTAAACTATCATTGTTATTAATAATTTTCCTTTGTATGAGGTGCAATAGAGATAATATGATGAAAATATTATATTTAAAGCCATATTTCTTCCGTTTTCTTAAATACATTATGTGTTTTTAAAGCTTCAACTTCTTATAACCTCACCTCAAACCTTTGATATTTGAAAGTTACATACATAGGTTACATAAACTACACCCTCTACATAAACTACATTAACTACATGTAATGTAGTTTATGTAGTTTTTAAAAGTAACATGTAGTTTTCCGAACCCTGCTTGTAGTACGTGTCGCACGTGTGCGGTAAAGCTTTGTTGCCGCTATCTCCCCGGCTGTATTAACGCATTTTCTTAGCTTGTAGTCCTTAAGTGTTTATTTTATCGACTTTTTCTGTTCAAAAACTATAAAATGGTTCGCCAGTGCCAAATTTGCAAGAAATTTGACTTAAATAATCCATTTAAGTCTTGAAACGACTTTTGACCGGTAGGCAACTCTCAATTTACCCATTGGGAGTCAGTGGCGTTGTTGTAGAAAGGCGCTTATTTAGATAATATTTTAGTAAAATGTAAAATCTGAATTTTTTCTTTTACATTACATTATTTACTTACTTACATTGTAACAAAATCATAATTATAACCCTGTTAATAATTAATAATGTTTTTATTAAAAATATATTCCGGTTTATTCTAAAATTATCTTCAGAATCTAAAATAACATACAAGAATTTTAAAATGATATTACATTATGAAACAATATTTTTTAATATACCGGGTCGTCTCAAAAGTGGCTCACCCCTATAACTTTTTTATTTTTTTCAGATAAAAAACAGATTTGTATGTTAGTAGGTATATCACATAAATTAGGATTTATTGACGTATTCAATTGTTTTTGGTCTCTTCCTGTTTCACCGAAATGATTACATATTTTGATTTTTAAAGGCACCCTCGGTATATTGCTACTTTATTCGATAAAAAATGACACTCTGAATAGAATGACATATCATATGTCAACTTTTGACATTGTCGCTTAAAAACATATCCTATTTTAAATTTCAATCCAGTTTTTTCAATCCACTAAGTTTTAATCGAGGAGCCTTGGAAAAATAGTTTTGATCGTCTAATAAGTTTCGTGTCTTGTCTAGGCCGGTTAAAAGATGTACATATCGTATTTTTAATCATACATATGTCAATTTTTTCAAATGGAACAAGGGTGACTCATTAGCATATTTGGAAAAAGCATTTTTTATGAATATATTGATACCACACACTTGGTATTTCGAGTCAAATTGTCGTTATGAACCGCGTGTTACAATTACAATTAAACCATATGCGAAAATGTCAAAAGTTGACATATGGTATGTCATTCTATTCAGAGTGTCATTTTCTATCGAATAAAGTAGAAATATACCGAGGGTGTCGTTTAAAAATTAAAAGTTATAGTCATTTCCGGTGAAACGGGAAGTGACCAAAAACAATTGAATGCGTCAATCAATCCTAATTTATTTCATATACTAACATACTAAATCTTGTTTTTTATTTGAAAATATAAAAAATTATGGGGATGAGCCACTTTTGAGACGCACCCGGTATAATAAAGACAGTACCGAGTTAAATAAATGTAGTTTTATTTTATCCACTTCCTATCACCTTCCTTGCTTTAATGGAACAGATATTATGTTTTCTCTAATTTACATAATAAGACATCACTTAACCAGAAAAAAATTACAACAATCATATTTTTTTTTCTCTCTCCTGTCGCCGATTCTATTATATCTGTGGAATAGATCCTGTTTTGATTAATATTAGGGTTGTAAATGTTTGACTAAAATTAATAATTTATTATTAATTTCAAAAATTACCTAATTTCGATTATAACATTTTTTCTATAACGTGTATTTTATTTGGACTCTAAATTGTTTTTTCTAAACTTTTATTTAAAAACCTGTCCTAAATCTTAATAAAATATAAAAAGTTTAAATACGATATATTTTTAATTTAATTATAGCTTCATTAAAATAAAAAATTACCCGGCTATGATACGGAGAGTTCAGGTGTACTTGAGAAACGAAAGACAGTGTTGTGTTTCTCGGCAGAGTCGTCGGAACGACCGTTACGACAGAGACAACCTATCTATCGCTCGTGTCGCACTCGTTATAACCTAAAACAATAACACAACAATAACAAGACAGTGTCTGACCCATAGACTTAGACTTTAGGTCTGACCGCATGTTCCAGCTATTTATGAATAAGATGCTCAGTCTATATTTTATTTTAAGTCTATGGTTGTAATAAATTGACACATTGTGAGTGTTAAAATAGTTGTGTAAAATTTTGTAGAAGATGAGAACGAAGCGTTTATTAAAGTACACAGGGCTACTTTTTAATAAAAGCGTAATTTCTTTTAATTAGAAATAAAAGTAAATGTCCAGATGGGTCAAATTCTAGGCGCCAGAGTACTATTATATAGTAGATTTCACAACACGCTGTAGATATCTCGAAAACAAACTACTAAAGCACGACATAAAATAAATATTCTCGGAAATAACATATTGTTTCGGTAAAAACATGTTTAAATAGTTTTTAACAAAAATGTCTAATAGTTAATATACAACTAGCAAATCCGATTATCTTAATCTTATATAAAATGGCATACACTTTTCATATTATGCGTAAACAAAAATAAGTAAAGCGGTACTATATTATTTTAATTAAAATACATAACTAAGCTACCTAGGTATGTACTTAAATCTTTATGCGACGTTAATATATGAGTTTTACAACCCCGAATAAAGTAATCATTTAGGGATACCCTTTTACCTAAAAAAAACGAGTACTTTCAATATAAACTAGCCATATCTCACTACCTGAATACTGTTTGACATCCACGTGGAATGGGACAAGTAGAGAGGCATAATCTCTAGCATGTGTAATGACTTGCATGACGATATCTAGGTTGAAAATGTTTCAAACATTCAGTTTGGATTGTGTGAAATCTAAGCACTAGGAGCAAAATGAGCGTATCTGGACAAGTTGAGTTTATCCCTCCGGGCGTAAATGATAAAGTCGGCGTAAGCGAGTTTCGGCGTAAATTAGTAGCGAATTATGCGAAATATCAAGCGGAATAAAAGAAAAATTGGATGCGTAGCGAACTATATTCAGCGTTAGATCTACTAAGGATCTGCTAAGGATCACTTCGACATAGCTAATAGGATCCAATCAAACTCCAAGGTAGACAGGTTCATTTGAATTTCTAAGCAGCTGAGGATTGGTTGATATGAAGTTAGAAACATCCTAGGATGGTATGCACGGTCAAAGAACAAGTACTGTGGAATAGCTAGGTTTGGCAAGCTATGGATTTGGTTATGGTAGATTCAAACGTGTATTAGGATGGGAAAAGGAGTAGGGTTAGTTCTACCCGGTACTCTCTTTTTCAAGGTATACGTTAGTATGATAGCTGGAAAAGGCGTGTGGTGGTTGCTAAGGTATGAGTTTACCACCTGGGCGCTTCGTGAGTAGGGCGGACAAGACTTGCGAATAGGGATGAGTCCCGGTATTCGGTCTGGTTAGTTCGACCCGGAGGGATTGCTCTCTTTTCCAGTGGCTGGAATAGGCGTGGGCCCATAGTTAGATTTAGATTTTTGAATTTAGATTTAGATTTTACAATTTACATTTTAGAGTTTAGATTTATATTTTAGAATTTAGGTTTAAGATTTTAGATTTGATATTTAACTTTATTTTGTTGCACGCAAGCTGCAGATTGCGTGTAACACCAATATATAATAAGTAATTCGTTTATTTTACCTTTTGAAATTGTCTTTTGTCCCTGAATAATTTATTTGTCCATCATGAGTTTTTGAGTATTGTTTTTGGGTGAGTTACGATATTTTATTTTTATTTATTCAGGTAGAAAATAAGACGTAGCTCCAGTATGAGCAGTGAACAATCTAACTATATTTTTATTTCAGCTTTTAAAAAAAATGTCCTTTAA